TGCTGTTGACCCCCCTGCAAAAAAAAAACGACTTTTTGGGGGGTTTTAGTGGAAAACCCAACTTGATTTCCCAAAAAAAGTTAGAAGTCTAAAGATCCGTTACCCAATAGCAGTAGAGTTAACAGCTGCCAGCCTTCCGCGCCAAGGCGCGGGATTCCCATCTGGAAAGTCCGCCTGCGGTGCCAAAGCGGCGACCGGCAAGGGCAGCAGTAAGGCCAGCGCCAGCAGCAATGGAGCCTAGCGATGTCAAAAAGACAGACACCAAGCGACCAACTGGAAACCATCTGGGTGTTTCTCATGTATATTTTTGGGTGAAGGAAGGATGGCCCAGTTCAGCGATTTCTATATGGCTGTTCTAGGGGTACCTGCCATTTTCATTCTGAACCCAGGGATCCGAATCTTTTCAGGAAACCATCAAACACTCAGGGAAACAGCTGGTGGTTGAAAAAACGATGCTTGAAAAGAATGGGGAATCAACCCCTAGAACCAAGCAACCAACTGGAAACCATCTGGGTGTCTCTCAGAATTGGGGGTCCAATTTTAGGATGGCTTCTTGTCGGCATCCTTTCAAAATTCCACAAGGGGTCTCCTATTTTGAGACACACCCGTCACCCATGATTCCCAGAATTTGAAGAAGCGTGCCGGCATTCAAGCTGCCGAAGGCACATTGGTGGCCTAAAAGTGGCAACGGTCTCCGCTCGATTCACGTGAGACTGGTGTCGCGCTATGCGATGATCTTCCCCGTATTCACATGCTGTCACTGCACTCCACATCCTCCAGAACGCGACACACACCTAATCATACATTCTCTGAAGCAGGGAAGGCTTGCGCAATGCTATTTTCACCAGATCAACAGGAACGGGTTCCGCACTTGAAGACTGACGGGAAAAGGGCACTTGTTCACATCTCTGCTGCTTTTTAGGGGTCCGACTGGCTAATGCCGGTTCCTCCTGCCCTTCCATGCATGTAGCTGGCGGTCATGCTTTGGGATCGTGAGCTACATATTTTATCTCTGAATATTTCTTTTGCTGGAGGGTGGTCGCGGCATGAAGGCTTGGCTTGTGAATGCTCGCCTGGGCAAGCGCAACTTACACGACCTGCTGCACTCATAGGTCTTTGTCCATGACGTCCCATTCGGAGGCATCTGGTTCCACCAGCCAAGGTTTCCCACGGACTGGTGAGCTGGTGCCCACAGAGTAAGAGCTGAAGGCGACAGTTCTGTGGACGGATGGCAGCCGCCTTCCCCTGCAAGCTCATTGTCTCCGGGTAAGACAAGTGTCAAGCGTCAGAGCTGATGCCATTCTTCCACACACACACACACACACAGCACACACTCGCAGTCACACCTACGCTCACACTCACCCGCATCCGAGCGCACGCACACGCGCAGGCACAAACTCACACACACACACACACACACATATGCACATGCAAATGAAACAATAGTCACTAGTGCCAACAAAACAGTTTGACTTCAGGGTATGTAGGTGCTTCTGCAAACTTCCCGTCCTCCCTTCTGCTCAATCAAGAGCAATGCTCTGCCGAGTGCGCTCACTAGTTAGCTGCCATGCATCGCTCGCCCTTAAGGAAAATCGCAGCCTTCACGCCAACCCCTCTCCCAAACCCTCGCGCCTGGCTAAGAAAGGAGGTCTGTGGCTCCAGGCGCCCGCTTCGCCCGCTTTCAACCCGCGCGCGTTCGCACGGCCGGGGCCTTGGGGCAGAACCAAAGCGGGCGACTCAGTCTCTGGTGAGGTGCGGATGAACGATCTTAGCTCCTTCGGCGACGCGTGCTATGCATGATCAACCTCTCCGCCTTTCTCCGTGAAGCTGAAAGAGACATCGATTCCCAAGAGCCTTACCACCGCAACTCGGATTGCCTTTCACTAGCCATGAAGTGCCCTTTGTGCCTTGCGCATGAGGCTGCGGAACCACAAGAGGCGCTTTGCAAGGATATATGGCTACTCCGCGAAAGTGTCTGAAAGCGTTTGAGAAGCCGAAGCCGTCCCCCGAAAACCGGGTCGGCCAAAGATGGGATCCCACCCGACCCATCCGCCCAGCGGCTGGTGCCAAGCCGGCAAGGTCCAGCCAACCTGCGAGCTTCCAGGCAATGGGATTGCATGGGTTTTAACTAAAGCCACCGCCATGTGCAATATGGGTGTGGCTCAGAATTAAACAGGGGCAAACCGCAGGTTTTAGTCCTTTCCACTTACCAGGGTTCCATTTTGGTACCGGTTTTCTGAGCCACAGCCATATGTATGCATATACTTTTTTCATTAATAGTACCGCCCACCCATACTCGGGGTGCTGCGGAAAGGTCGTAAAATCGTTGGGACAGGTCCTGAGCGGCACGTGGGACTTGTGTTCAATGTTGCAACCCTGGCCACACCATGCGTCAGAAACAAACAAGCCCATCAGCAAGCACGCTTTTCCAGACTAACATGGAAGGTCCCAGGACCCCTCTTAGAAGGCTCGGTTCCATTTACCGTGGCCAATAGGGGCAGCTTCCGGCTGTTCCGAGGGACTGTAAGTTCAATGATTCAGCTTCTCCTCAACTTTGTGCTTTGTTAAGGTTCGGGATGGTTTCCCATTTACTTCCATTTGCTTTTGCGACCCCTGGAAAAAATGAGAACATATTTCCAGTAGTGATAGACTCCCTTTAAAACCAACAGGGGAAAACATAAAATAACACAAATATTCTTCAACAAATGGAGGTTTACTCCCCTCAATCTTGTGGTTTGTTAAGGTCAGGGATGGTTTCCCATTTACCTTGGGATTCGAAGTGACGCTTCCGTCGTCCTGTACCTTGCCGGATGCGCCTGGCTGGTGGCCAGCGCCAGTGCCAGCGCTGCAAGCCATCGGCCCTCGACGGTTTGCGTCAGGAGTCAGGGTCTCGACTTGGAACCCTTCCCGCATTCCCTACTCACCCGAAAGAAGAGTGAACTTGGTTGCTGCAACAAACAAGTTGTTGTCACTTTTTTTTTTTGGGGGGGGGTTAGCGGAAAAGCCAGCTTGATTTCAAGCAAGAAGTTAATAAAGATCCAATCCAATAGCAGTCAAGCCGAGAACGAATATGTCGGCGAAACTGCACATCGTGTTCTTTTAGATATCCCCCATACCCAGGACCTACCAGGCTGCACCCCCTGAGGGTCTGGAAAACATTGGAAAACCAATCTTTGTGCATCGCCTGGTGGTTTCCTCGTGAACCGTCCGGGTCATTAACCACCGTCTGAATCTTGGGCGACGCATCAGATTGGTGAGTTGTTCTCTCTTCCCTGGAGCATTTTGGGGCTATAACCCGCAGCCAGGCTGCCGTGAACAAAGATGCTGACTTGGAGGCTCAAGCCTTTCAACCACCGCACCCAGTCTCTCTTGAAGAACCCTTCAATGCACTTTGGAGTCGCCAATGTGATCAAAAGGGCGCTTCACTTGCGAACAGCTCCACCGTGTGGAACGAACCAATTAAAGCATATTCAAACAAGCAAAAACCTCAGCGGATGCCAACTGGGTTCTCCAGTAGAGAGGGTAGAATAAGGGTACCCTTTTCTCTGTAGTCTATTTTAGTAGACTAACCCTCCCCCAAAAAAGAAATGGCAAAAGTTGGCACTACTGGGGACCTAGCCAATCTACATGAAACTCCACCGTATGGAACGAAGCGCATACATTCAAACAATGGCTCCACCGCAAAAACCATCGGCGGATGCCTTGCTGTAATGGCGCCAACCATCATCTGACTCGAATGTTGCGGTCCAGGATTGGTGCGCAGAAAATGGAATCACAAATTAAAGTTGGCCCTTGTGAAAACACAAAAAACAAAACAAGAAACAACAAAGAAAACAAACAAACAAACAAACAAACAAACAAACAAACAAACAAACAAACAAACAAACAAACAAACAAACAAACAAACAGAAACGATCAAACAAACAGCAACAAAAAAACAAACACAAACAAACACACAAACACACAAACAAACACACAAACACACAAACAAACAAACACCCCAAAAAAGAAGAAACAAAAAGAAACAAGCCAACCACAACAAACAAAACCAGACAAAAACAAGACCTGGCCTTTTGCATGCAGTGAAACCCCTCCATGGATCGCCCGGCCTGGGAGCGCATGGCCCCCGGGAGGGGCTCCAGTTAGCGGCCTCGGCCAAGGCCTTCTGGCGGCTTGGGCCAAACGGCGACGGCTTGCCAAACGGCCACCAATTCACGCGATGGGAAGCCTTCCATTTGCTTTTGCAACCCCTGGGAAAAATGAGCAAATATTTCACGTGATACATTTCCTTTAAAACCAACAGGGGAAAATAACACATATTCTTAAGCAAATGGAAGAAGCCCAAGGGAGCAAGCGCAGCCAGAGCTAATACTTGGTGATGGGTAGGGAATGTGGGAATGACCCCAGAACTCCCCTTAAAGGAAACCACCAGTTGGATTATTTTTCTGGGGCTCATTCCAATTTTGATTCCCTGCTTCTCGGTTCCGGCAAGAAATGAGGGAACGGGGGTGGTAGCCTTCTAATGTGGGATCCGCCAAGTCCCTTCAAAAGACACCGCCTTTCAGCTTACACGCTGCCTCAAGCCATGTGTACACCCTGCGCCACCCGGGAAAACAAGTACTGCAAGCGGGTTGAGCACCAATTGACGTATCATCAAATGCTGCCAATTGTGTATATGATGTATGTCAGATCTGCTCATTATCATACACCTGCATCATGCCACCAACATAAAACACTCACTTCCTGAGTGGATTGGCAGAAAAAGTAACCACTTGTTGCATTTACGACTCCAAACCCAAAAAGCAAGTCCAGGAACTCAGGGAGTGAAAATATCTAAAAATACACTACATGTACTAGGTCCTCCAGTAGAGAGGTTAGAATAAGGGTACCAACATTCTTCTGTAGTCGATTTTAGTAGGGGAACCCTCCCCAAAAAAGGGGAGAGAATGGCACTACCGGCAGACCTAGTTTAGTATTGAGGCCCTTCCCGGGCGGCCGGCGACAGCAGCTCTTCACGAGAGCCTAAGCTGCGACGGTTCAGCTTCTGGGTGGCGCGTCTGTTTTAGGATTCGAACCCCACGCCCCGAAAAGAAAATGGTGCAACGGTTTTCCTTGTGGTTTTCCTAGTTCTCCTAAGGACAAGCAAACAAGGGGCACCCTCAAGAAAGATACACCCAAATGGATTGCTAGAAGGCCTATTATGCTCGGCAATTTTGGGGGCCAAAGGGGGCTGGTTTATGGCAAAGCACCCTTTGTTGGTACAAGCGCTTCAATTGTTGCACCAGTACAGAAAGCTCACACGAGTCACAGCCACATTCTATGTGAATTAATTGCACTGCTTTGCCGCACGATGGACATGTAACCTCTGCGACGATCCATACTCAGCAGCAAACCAAATCCACGAGCAGCAGGATCTGAAGCAAAATTGAAATACGGCTGGGGGGAAAAATGCCGTCGCGCCTTCTAGCACAGCTCCCCCCCCCACCCTTCCAATCGCAAATCAGCACCCTTTGCAACACAAGCCCTCAGCATCTGCAGCATGTGCAATGCCCGAACGCTGGCCCTCTGGTGCATACAACTACCACCGGGCCTCCCAAACATCACGCGCAATCATTGCCCTGGCTTCGCCACGAACCCCTCACCCTACACCTCTATTCATGATGAGTGCACGTCATGCTGGAAAACCTGCAACGGCCAAGATCTTTGGCCGTTTCAAGTCAGTCGGTAATTCAGTGTGGCGACGTCTCAGCTCCCAGTGACTTTTCCAATCCGACACCAGAAGCTCTCATCAGCCGCAGCGGCGATTTTTGTGGATCAAAGAACTTGGCGTTCTGCAATGCTTTGGGGCATCTTAGGCCCGAACTAGGGCACGATAGGGCATGTGATCTCTCCGCACCGTACGGCTGCCAACTTGACAGGCAATTGGTCAACTTCTCACTGGAACAGGGTACACCAGGAAACAAGCATTGCGGTATGGGTCCATCCTTGCACCAATCCTTACCCTAGCTTCGCCACGAATCCCTCACCCTACACCTCTATTCATGATGAGTGCACGCCAAGCTGGAAAACCTGCAACGGCCAAGGTCTTTGATCGCTCCAAGCCAGCCGGCAATTCAGTGTGGCGACCTCTCAGCTCCCAGTGTCTTTTCCTTTCCGACACAAGAAGCTCTCATCAGCCGCAGCTATGTGCAATGTGACTTGGCATTCTGCAATGGATTGGGGCATCCTAGGCTCGAACAAGGGCACGATAGGGCATGTGATCTCTGGGCACCGTGAGACTGCCAGCTCAACAGGCAGCACAATTTAAAAACCGCAGGATCAGTGGCAGTTCTGGCAACTGATGATCTCGATGCACGCACACAAACACACCAAACCTGGTAAACATTATATTCTTATATCAACATCTGTTCTGATGATTTCTTTTGGAAGCCATGTGCTACCCTTGTCCACCATATCATCTGGTTACCTCACCTTTGATTCAGCTGAACAAGAGATGTTCGCAACAGTATGCTGTCATGTCGTGCCGTATCCGCTGATCTCTGGCTCTCATTCACCCAAAGCCGACACAGAGCGGTACGGGTCCATCCTTTGCACCAATCATAACCCTAGCTTCGCCACTCATCTCGGGCTCTGAATCTCCAGTCATCATGAGTGCATGCCATGCTGGAAAACCTGCAGCGGCCAAGGTCTTTGATCGCTCCAAGCCAGCCGGCAATTCAATGTGGCGACCTCTCAGCTCCCAGTGACTCTTCCTTTCTGACACCAGAAGCTCTCATCAGCCGCAGTGGCGATTTTGTTGATCAACGCACTTGGCATTCTGCAATGCTTTGGGGCATCTTAGGCACGATAGGGCATGTGATTTCTCCGCACCGTACGGCTGCCAACTTGACAGGCAATTGGTCAACTTCTCACTGGAACAGGGTACACCAGGAAACAAGCATTGGCACTGCACTCGGCATGGCGCATATGCTTGTGCCTAAAGCTCAAACACCATGCGCCACAAGTCCAACACCCTGTGCCTCGCAAACCCCGGAATTTCGATGCGCACACAAACCCAATATCAACACAAAGCGGTATGGGTCCATCCTTGCTCCAATCATAACCCTAGCTGCGCCACTCATCTCGCGCCCTGAATCTCCAGTCATCATGAGTGCATGCCATGCTGGAAAACCTGCAGCGGCCAAGGTCTTTGATCGCTCCAAGCCAGCCGGCAATTCAGTGTGGCGACCTCTCAGCTCCCAGTGACTCTTTCTTTCTGACACTAGAAGCTCTCAGCAGCCGCAGCGGTGATTTTTGGGGATCAATGCACTTGGCATTCTGCAATGCTTTGGGGCATCTTAGGATCGAACAAGGGAACGAAAGGGCATGCGATTTCTCCGCACCGTACGGCTGCCAACTTGACAGGCAATTGGTCAACTTCTCACTGGAACATGGTACACCAGGAAACAAGCATTGGCACTGCACTCGGCATGGCGCATATGCTTGTGCCTAAAGCGAAAACACTATGCGCTACAAGTCCAACACCCTGTGCCTCGCAAACCCCGGGATTTCGATGCGCACACAAGCCCAATACAAACACAGAGCGGTACGGGTCCATCCTTTGCACCAATCATAACCCTAGCTTCGCCACTCATCTCGGGTTCTGAATCTGCAGTCATCATGAGTGCATGCCATGCTGGAAAACCCGCAGCGGCCAAGGTCTTTGATCGCTCCAAGCCAGCCGGCAATTCAATGTGGCGACCTCTCAGCTCCCAGTGACTCTTCCTTTCCGACGCCAGAAGCTTTCATCAGCCGCAGCGGCGATTTTTGTGGATCAAAGCACTTGGCGTTCTGCAATGCTTTGGGGCATCTTAGGCTCGAACTAGGGCACGATAGGGCATGTGATTTCTCCGCACCGTACGGCTGCCAACTTGACAGGCATTTGGTCAACTTCTCACTGGAACAGGGTACACCCGGAAACAAGCATTGCAACACAAAGCGGTATGGCTCCATCCTTGCACCAATCATTACCCTAGCTTCGCCCTCTCGCGCCCTGAATCTCCAGTCAGCATGAGTGCATGCCATGCTGGAAAACCTGCAGCGGCCAAGGTCTTTGATCGCTCCAAGCTAGCCGGCAATTCAGTGTGGCGACCTTTCAGCTCCCAGTGACTCTTCCTTTCTGACACCAGAAGCTCTCATCAGCCGCAGCTATGTGATGTGACTTGCAATTCTGCCATGATTTGGGGCATCTTAGGCTCGAACTGGGGCAATTGGTCGACTTCTTCGTGGAACAGGGTGCACCAGGGAACAAGCATCGGCACAGCAATCGGCATGGCCCATATGCTTGTGCCTAAAGCTAAAACCCCATTCGCTAAAAGTCCTATACCCTGTGCCTCCCAAACATGGTGATTTTGATGCGCACACAAGCCCAATACCAACACAAAGCGGTATGGGTCCATCCTTGCACCAATCATAACCCTAGCTTCGCCACTCATCTCGCGCCCTGAATCTCCAGTCATCATGAGTGCATGCCATGCTGGAAAACCTGCAGCGGCCAAGGTCTTTGATCGCTCCAAGCCAGCCGGCAATTCAATGTGGCGACCTCTCAGCTCCCAGTGACTCTTTCTTTCCGACACCAGAAGCTCTCATCAGCCGCAGCGGCGATTTTTGTGGATCAAAGCACTTGGCATTATGCAATGCTTTGGGGCATCTTAGGCTCGAACTGGGGCACGATAGGGCATGTGATTTCTCCGCACCGTACGGCTGCCAACTTGACAGGCAATTGGTCAACTTCTCACTGGAACAGGGTACACCAGGAAACAAGCATTGCAACACAAAGCGGTATGGCTCCATCCGTGCACCAATCAGAACCCTAGCTTCGCCATCTCGCGCCCTGAATCTCCAGTCAGCATGAGTGCATGCCATGCTGGAAAACCTGCAGCGGCCAAGGTCTTTGATCGCTCCAAGCCAGCCGGCAATTCAGTGTGGCGACCTCTCAGCTCCCAGTGACTCTTCCTTTCTGACACCAGAAGCTCTCATCAGCCGCAGCTATATGTGATGTGACTTGCAATTCTGTGCTTTGGGGCATCTGAGGCTCTTACGCGGGCAATGGGTCGACTTCTTCGTGGAACAGGGTGCACCAGGGAACAAGCATTGGCAGCGCACTCGGCATGGCCCATATGCTTGTGCCGAAAGCGAAAACACCATGCGCTACAAGTCCAATACCCTGTGCCTCCCAAACAAGGTGATTATGATGCGCGCACAAGCCCAATACCAACACAGAGCGGTATGGGTCCATTCTTGCACCAATGATTACCCGCCATCTCGCGCCCTGAATCTCCAGTCAGCGCGAGTGCATGCCATTCTGGAAAACCTGCAGCGGCCAAGGTCTTTGATCGCTCCAAGCCAGCCGGCAATTCAGTGTGGCGACCTCTCAGCTTCCAGTAACTCGTTCTTTCCGACACCAGAAGCTCTCATCAGCCGCAGCTATGTGTGATGTGACTTGCAATTCTGCAATGATTTGGGGCATCTTAGGCTCGAACAAATGCACGATAGGGCATGTGATCTCTCCGCACCGTAAGACTGCCCGCGTAACAGGCAATTGGTCAACTTCTCACTGACATCTCACTGACAAGCATTGGCAGCGCACTCGCCATGTCGCATATGTTTGTGGCTAAAGCGTAAATACCATTGCTACAAGTCCTATACCCTGTGCCTCCCAAACATCGCGATTTTGATGCGCACACCAACACAGAGCGGTATGGGTCCATCCGTGCACCAATCAGGACCGTAGCTTTGCCATCTCGCGCCCTGAATCTCCAGTCAGCATGAGTGCATGCCATGCTGGAAAACCTGCAGCGGCCAAGGTCTTTGATCGCTCCAAGCCAGCCGGCAATTCAGTGTGGCGACCTCTCAGCTCCCAGTGACTCTTCCTTTCTGACACCAGAAGCTCTCATCAGCCGCAGCTATGTGTGATGTGACTTGCAATTCTGCCATGCTTTGGGGCATCTTGGGCTCTTACGCGGGCAATTGGTCAACGTCTTCGTGGAGCAGGGTGCACCAGGGAACAAGCATTGGCAGCGCATTCGGCATGTCGCATATGGTTGTGCCTAAAGCGCAAATACCATTGCTACAATCCTATACCCTGTGCCTCCCAAACAAGGTTATTTTGATGCGCACACAAGCCCAATACCAACACAGAGCGGTATGGGTCCATCCGTGCACCAATCATTACCCTAGCTTCGCCATCTCGCGCCCTGAATCTCCAGTCAGCGCGAGTGCATGCCATGCTGGAAAACCTGCAGCGGCCAAGGTCTTTGATCGCTCCAAGCCAGCCGGCAATTCAGTGTGGCGACCTCTCAGCTTCCAGTGACTCGTTCTTTCCGACACCAGAAGCTCTCATCAGCCGCAGCTATGTGTGATGTGACTTGCAATTCTGCAATGATTTGGGGCATCTTAGGCTCGAACAAATGCACGATAGGGCATGTGATCTCTCCGCACCGGAAGACTGCCCGCGTAACAGGCAATTGGTCAACTTCTCACTGACATCTCACTGACAAGCATTGGCAGCGCACTCGCCATGTCGCATATGTTTGTGGCTAAAGCGCAAATACCATTGCTACAAGTCCTATACCCTATGCCTCCCAAACATCGCGATTTTGATGCGCACACAAGCCCAATACCAACACAGAGCGGTATGGGTCCATCCGTGCACCAATCAGGACCCTAGCTTCGCCATCTCGCGCCCTGAATCTCCAGTCAGCATGAGTGCATGCCATGCTGGAAAATCTGCAGCGGCCAAGGTCTTTGATCGCTCCAAGCCAGCCGGCAATTCAGTGTGGCGACCTCTCAGCTCCCAGTGACTCTTCCTTTCCGACACCAGAAGCTCTCATCAGCCGCAGCGGCGATTTTTGTTGATCAACGCACTTGGCATTATGCAATGCTTTGGGGCATCTTAGGCTCGAACAAGGGCACGACAGGGCGTGATCTCTCCGCACCGTAAGACTGCCAAGGCAATTGGTTAATGGAACAGAATGTACCATGAACAAGTTGCAGGAGCATTGGTAGCCCACTCTCGCTTTCCAACACCAGGAGCTACCAGCCGCAGGTAAATGCAATGTGGATAATGTGGATCAATGCAACACAAGTGGATCGAGCTGAGCTGAGGCGACCCACCATCTGTAGCAACTCCCAGGTGTCTGCACTCCTCCTGCAGCATGTCAACCTCAGGTTATTCAAGCCCCAAACGCTGCAGCATGACGCTTATGGTGCGAAGGTCGGTGATTCTAGGCAATTGCGCCTTGGCACTAGCTGCCTTATTTCGCCCATTTGCTGAGCTATATAGATGAACCAGGCTTTTGCTTTGATCCAAGCCTTTGAGGTAAAGTGTCGCAGTTGTTTCGCGTGGATGTCATGCCTTGCATTAGGCATTTGCACTGTGGTTTTCGGGGGAGGGGGTTCAGCTGGGAGTCAAAGCTTGGCCTGCGATTCATCCGAATTGCCCAGCCCAATGTCAACTTGGTACCTCTTTTTGGTTGACCCATAGTTGAGAATGAACTGCAAATTAACATGAAACCCCAAAACGGGGCGTCCACCAAAAGAAGAATCCTCTAAGGATTCTCTGGGTTCCACGCCAAGATGCGCGTTGCAATCGCAAGGCACAAGGCGCATCCAGCGGGAAGCGTATGCTCACAAGGCCAAAAGTCGACTGAGGCACCGGGCGGACATCTCCTTCCACACCGCGGCCGCCTGCTGTTGGGCTGGATTCCATTCAGCTGGTTGGAGGTGATCCCGAGTTTCACTTACGCTCCACAAGAACAGGTGAACTTCGTCCAAGTCCAAACCACTTATATATATAATTATATTTGCGGGGGTACCCAAATCCAAATACAAACCATGCTTTTGTTTGTTGCTTTTTTTGGGGGGGGTAACCAAATCCAAATCCAAACCAACTTTCTGTCGGGGTAACTTGACTGATTCTGGCCCTTACATTTGCACTTGACTCACTTGCACCGCCAGGCGCATGCGCCGGCAGTCATGACGTCATTTGACATGTCGAATGTTGACTACACTATAAGAAGGAAGGGACCGCTGCATGGAAACTGAGTGTGATGCCCAAGCTATCCCCTGGTCCAAATCAAGTAGATCGCCAAGTAAGAGTTTTATCAAAATAAGTTTCAGCTCTACCAGGCATTTGGACTGGAATGAACAGCTACCCGCCGAAGTTCAGGCGAGGAAATCATTCCAAGAAAGCTGAGATTGAATCTTCCAAAGCATTTGTTGGGGGGACAACCTCCCAAACCTCCAAATCAACCTGACTGAAAGGGCCCTAAAAGTCATCTGCCATGGACTCAAAAGCTGCCTTGAGGCGCTCCAGCATCTCCTCCTGGTCAGAAACCTGCGTGGAAGGGGAATTGCAACCCTGTATCGCCTTCTATTGAGGGCAATCCAAGAAGTTCAGCCCCCAAAGGGAAGGATCAACTTTGACTTGGCTCAACTGAAATCATCTCAGCCAATGCTCGGAATGCCGGATCCTGCGGCCAAGGTGAGCATTTGCTCTTTGCAGTAGCCGGTGTCTGATGATGCCCTTGCCGGTACATTTCTGGGAATAATGTAGACAGTGTACCATAAAGTAAAGGCTGGACAGGGGTAAACACATTCAGGACATTGACTCAAGGGGCCCGTGGTTGATCCTTCAGACTTGAGATTGCCTGAGACGTAGAAAAGCAGCGCTCATATGCCTGTCCTCCTGTTGGCTGCCTGGAACGCCATTTGCCTCGCGGCAGCCACTGGCATTCGGGAACTCTTCAGATCCTGTTGTAACCAGTTTTCATGTCCGTCTCCCTGTTGGGTGCCTAAGAAAGACGGAGAGCAAGTGAATGTGCAGAATTTGCCAAGGGGCTGGGATGCAAGGGGGTTTCAGTGCTAAGCCCATCTAGTCTCCGAAAGAACTTCCGGCCGTTTCGAAAGCCGGGGCTCAGGTCAAAGGATTCCATGACGCGACCACGCCAAGAGCCCACGCTCACCCCACCTGCCGCCCTGGATTCTTCGCCGCTCGGCTCAGATCCCCGAAAAGTTAAACTTGCGGATGAAGTTTGGAAACCCAACCTTCAAAAATCTAAAACCATCTAAACAACTAAGGAACCACATGGCTGGGAGCTCATCCTGGATTCTCTCAAACCTCAAAAGGCAAAAACAGGGCCTCCATCTCCATCTCCCTTCGCAACTTCTCCAAGTCCAACGACTCCAGCTGTGCCCAGCGCAGCGCCACGCGGATGGCAGCCTGCGGAAAAAAAAAGGAACAGGACGCGCACACGTCTGGCGGCCAAAATGTGAGATATTACAAACACGTGGGGTTGTAAAACAGCGCTTTCTTTAACTAAGCAAACCCTGTGACATATTACAGTAAACATATCAAATAAACACCCAATGTTTTGACAACCTTCCAAGCAAGACATCATGTCCCTGTTGAAAAGAAGGCTGTGACATTTTGATGACGTGCCTGCTTGAAAGGTTGATTATTTGAAGAGTGTTGGCCGTTGCTTGTCTGTCTGTCTTGGGACTCTTACTTGCTTGAGTCCTTGGTTACTATTGCTGACAGTTGCAAACTCTGTGCCTGGTTGACTTGCTCATTGCGTCCTCGGGATCTAGGCAATAGCACTTCACGAATTTCAACATCGTAATCCACAATCGTGTATCTATATCAACCACTGGCATATGCATACCCATGCAGTGCGCGCGACTAGATGACTCAATTCACCAAACCAAGTTCATTCGCTGTCCTCAGCGCTTGCCTGGACCCAATGGGGCTTCTTTTCGCCGGCGCGCGACGGACTGGCGGCTATTCCCTCAACTCCTCGCGCCCGTCACTGGAACATTCCACGCAGATTCGGCTGGTGCGCGTAGGATCCAACCTCTGGCAAACGCCGCTCGAGGGGTCCTTGCTGGCCCAAAGGGAACCCCGAGTTTCCGATGTTGCGTCACTGGGGCATCACTACAGCAAGCGAGACCACTACAATCTGGCATAGCCATTAGCGACTGCTTTTGAACAGCGGATGTCTGCAGCTGCGCCTGAATGTCACCCGGAAGAACCCCAAAAACCCATGCCAGCCAAAACCAACTAAACAAGCTGTCATCAATATGACATGCTTGATCGAAGCAATAGGGGCTGAATAGTGTTGACACAAACAACAACAACGCGCCTGCTGGAGCACTGTGAACCACGTGCTTTGTGTTGGCTTTGTGTTGGTTGTTTAGAGGGCCTTGGATTACCACACTGATACACTGATGACGGCTTGTTCATGAAAGACCACTCTGCCCCCACTGCAACAGAAAGGGCTTCAAGTTTACTGATTTATCTGGCAGAAACGGGCTGGTAACCCTGGTCCGATTTGCTCGACAGAGTCTGGACAGCTCCATGTTTCAGAAACTCAGAGGGCAACTCCGTAAACAAGCTTGACACAACTCCCTTGCATTGCATGCCGCCGGCAGTGACTTTCGAGTAGACCCTGAAGGCACCAAATCTCCAGACCTGGCTATGTTTGGCCGAAGAATCTCAGGGGGCACTGGATCCCCCCAGCAGTTGCAACTTGCTTTGGGCTTCCAGTGCAACCTTCGCACCTCTGCCTAGCGAATCCAAAGAAAGAGCAGCGGGCGCTGGCGGTCCGGGCAGCTCCGGGATCAGGCGCCAGCACTCCAAAGGGCTGCAGGTGTCGCAAATGCAGCGGCCGCAGTGTCGGCCTCGTCCCGTAGCCGTGCATGGATGCCTAGCCTCCCACCAGCTAACATGGAAGTGCACGGACCCCTGTAGAAAGACTACTTTCCTCTTGGAAAGGGCCTTTTTGCACTTCCATGTTAGTTGGTGGGAGGGCAACTTTCATAACAGGAAAGCTTCAAGCACATGGGCTCTGCATAATTACCACAGGCAGGAGACGCTGGAGGGCTGCATGGAGCTCTATCCCCGGAATCCCCGGGATCTGTCAGTCCCTTACCACTGGATAGAACCAACATCAATAGACGACCAAACACGATCCAAGAATGCACTGTCATGTTAAGCGCTCGCAAAAGAACAGCTAGAACCTATGATGGAGAAAGCATAGCCACTGAACGGCGGCAAGTCGCCAAGAACAGGCATGGCAATCAGCAGCATTCCTACCGTCGACAACTCAAACGGCCAAATCCCAGTATCACAGAAGTGGTTTCTCGCCTTGGATTCCTACCGGACAGGCACCCCTTCTGGTGACAAAACTGCTCAATCAACCATGCGCACTGCGTTGTTTTTGAAGTTGGTCTACATGTCAAGTGCGAAAGGCTGTGTCTCATACAACTTTGCCTTCGCCGCAAACACAGCTCCAAACATGGTCTACATTAGTCTTTGTCAAGGCGTGGGAAGGGGGGAAGTGGGTGGTGTGTTTGGGATCCCGTGATCGGGTGTGAGTCTCCAACAGCGAAGCTGCCTTTGGGCCGGGGACGGCCATTTTTGATCGATTCTGCGGAACCCCATCGATTCACTAGACCTCCCGTTGCTTTCTCGCCCCCTAAAAGAACACATTTCTGACACCAACCAAACAGGGAAACGCATATTTTTAAGCAAATGGAAGTAATTAGAGCAAGCACACCTAGCTTGCAAACATGGCCCTGCCAACCGCCGCCCCATGATTTGCAAATCGGGAACCGCTCAACGTGATTTGGGTGATTTTGATGCCATGAAGGGGAACCAAACAAACAAGGTGATCAGTTCCCAAAGAACTGATAAGGGCTCATGTGAAAAAGTTACCCTCCTTTGTCTCACAGGTGCAATGGTGCCGCCGCCGCCGAAGCATGGTGAATGGTACATCGCAAATCTCGCAGTCAGCCTCAGCTGCAAAATGGTTTGCAAACTGGCAGACTTGACTAAGCCTGCTGGTTGAGTAGCATACACATGTAATGCCTCTTGCTATGCATGCCATACAAACCAAGCGACCCAATCAACAACAAAGACCTCACTGCCTCCTGAACAAATCACATACCAGGAATGCCGCCATCCTTTCCCCACCAACCCCGGGGCATGTCGTAACATTGCGCGTGTCGTGATGGCGCTCAACCATCATATCTGCTTCGGCAATGCGTGTGAACTAATGTTGGCCACTTTGTAGGCTAACAACTTTCTCTCTGAGGGATGATGCTTGGAAACAACTCTTCAAGTAAATATGCAGACATGCGCATTGTTCCCAGTGCAGTGAATTGCTTCCAAAATGTAAGCGGCTCACATCTTAGAATCCATTCCCTACACGAGCTCGGTAACATCCACCGCGGTTGAACAAAAACTGCCAGCTAAGGCTGTCTGGGTTGGACTGTGGGCTTAGAAGTCTTCACACACTAGTTTAAAACCCCCAACACGAATTCTCAGCAACTCGTAAGTGCAGCATGTGTTGTACCAATCAATATACCGCAGGCAAAGGCATAATGCACCATCAGCCAAACTTGGCCTTGCCTATGGCCCAAACATGCAACATGTTCCCACCAGCTCGCCATCCTGTTAACTACGTGGAAGCTGCCGGGGCACGCTTAAGGTATCCTAAATTCTTGGCTGGAATTAGGACCCCTGCAAAAAATCATCTTTTTTGCCTGGAAAAAGCGAAAACAAATCAATCAAACAAAAGGGGAGCGAATTCTGGGGAAGAACTGGCCAGAGCTTCCAGATGATTCCGCGGTCGTAACTCCAAGACCATCCGTGGCCCAGTCTGACCCAGTGCTTTCACAGGGATCCTTACATTATACACCTGAAATGCAATTCTTTCCTAAACCACCCAATGTGGACCCCAGCAACACCTGAACATTGCCTCGCAAATGGTGGTTTCCAACTTTATTCCGGTGTTGAAAAAGCCACATGTCTCAAGTGGTTGCAAAATGGAGATCCTTTAAGGAGCCCGGTTGGCCCAACATCGGCGCGAGTGGCCGCATCTCGGTCCGGCGTCCAGTTCCAGCCGCCCTCTCGCCTGTCATGACCCATCCGGAACTGTGTGGCTGGGCGCGGAGTGAACAGGTGCCCGTGGATTGGGCAACAGCAAACGAAGGTTTACCCTCCCAGTGAACATGAAACCTGCCAGCGGGGTCCCGGAAGAGCATTCTCCTTTGAAAGGGACCCTTTGTGTTCGCGTCAACAGGACCACTCGCGTCAACAGGATCACACCATAGGCACACCCCAAGTCTCACTGATTCCTAAGTATCAAGTATCCTGGGTGCAGGGACCGACTCCCCTGCACCAGCCAAAGAGTTTGAAAAGTGGGTATCGCGAACAGTCCGACCACACCTTGTGTCAATGTATCAGAATGAGTTTTACTGGGCCCTGCCGCCCTCCGTTTCCCCAAGAATGAACATAAATCAGCTTCCCCCCAAATTGGTGCTTTGGACTGGTGGCTTGGAGGGTAAGCGCTGTTTCCCAGGTTTCAAATCCCCAAACCACCAATTCAAACACTAAGCCAAGGGTTCCCTAAAGAAACACTTGCTTGCTGTTGACCCCTCTGCAAACACTTTAACTTTTTGTGGGTTCAATTGGAAATCCTCTCTTTCCCAAAAAGTTGAAGTCCCAAGAATCGTTACCACATGGCTGTGGGTCCAAAATAGGTACCTAAAAAGGCACCCTAGTAAATAAAAACAATAACTAAAACCTGTGGTCCGATTCCTAGTGGTTTAATTTTGACCTGTACCCACATACGGTGGATGGACGAAATCCATTTCGAACAACGAAATGAAACCATTGGAAGCCATTGTTTGTTGGTATTTGCAGGGGAATCATTCATAGGAATTCTTAGGTGGTGTGAAATGGATTTCCTCCGTCCACAGTCTTCAGGGGTCAACCTGTTCGTCTTGGGAACGCCCGGCCTCCAATAGCCAGAAGCCTTTAGCCCGACCTGGGACGAATCACTGCTCTCTGAGCCTCACCAAGCACAACTGCCTGAACCAGCCATCTCCAAATCCAAGGGGCGAGGGGTGGTGCTCCTAAAAGGGTCGGAACCTTGGTTGCTGTTGACCCCCCTGCGAAAAGTTTCTGACTTTTTGGGGGTTTCGTGGAAAACCCAACTTGATGTCAACCAAAAAGTTGAAGTCTAAAGATCCAACCCAACAGCACTTAAGGAACATGCCACAGACCCGAGGACATGTCAGACCAAATGCCAAATGCGACTGGCCTTCGCCTTCGCCTCAAAAGGCTGAGCCAAAGTTGGGGCCCCGATCGCAGGGAGACGCGACAAAAAATCCGGGACACAGTAGATATTGGCTCGCAAAAGCGTGATGGCATGTGTTGGCCTTTGATGTTCCTACATGTTCCTACATGTGGTCAAGTAACGCATTGCTAAGCGGAAGCCTATGCTAAGAATTGAAAACAATAGTTGCACTCCGAACATCGCCGAATGCATTAAGATGTGGTTTTCGCAAATTCCCCGCTTCAGGCAAAACGCCTCCAATTGCTCACTTTCGGTGCTGCAGTTGCATCCGGGTACTGATATCAGGCTGCTTGCGTTCATTCTGTTTGGCCTTCCACTTGATGAAAGCGAAGCTGCCGCTTGCTTGTTACGCATCAAGCGGATTTGTTACCGCTGCGGCCCGTCTGGGTGCGACGAGTTCTCTGGTCTCAAGTAGCTAAGGGCCCCGCGAAAGGAAACCCGCGAGAGAAAAAAACCTTTCGCAGTGGAGGGGCGTGGATTTTCGCGGCCCGGGGAAGCTGCAAACAACGCGGGTGGCGAAGGCAAAAACGGGAAAAGACAGCAAAACAAATCCTGGCAGCGCAATCGGCACCATACAACTCACCCTCCCAGGCACAATCCCTGCAACATCCACACTTGCGTTCCATGCGTGGGCAAAGAATTGTGCATGCATTTGTCCATATGTTTTTTCCATGTCCATGCATGTCTCCCTATATTGACACCCACAAGTGTACCACGCACTTGAGTACCACTCAGTTCCGGATTCTCTTGTCAGGCAGCTGTGAGGTCCACGTCCTCCCCATCTTCCTGGGCCTTGCCAAGGGGTAGGCGTAGCTGGACCCATGGATAGCTCGCATGCTTTCTTGAATCCCGAAGCGGTGTACCCTGACGTCCTTCACTAGCAAGTTGTCAACCCCTTGGCATTCAAGTAAGGAAGCACCTGGGGCCAAAAAAGGCGCGCTTGCCACACGGAGACGATCGAACTTCACGAGCCCGTCTCGCTTGCTTTCACGCTGAAGCCGTCAAACCGGTTCTTGCTTGGAAACGGCGACGCCTATCTTGGAAACGAACACTAGTCAAACTAGACACTCCAGCCACCTTGCCGCATGTGCACAAAGCCCCAAGTTCCGAGCATGTGAAACTAAGCTTCATGTTTATTGCTTGAACAGTTTGGGAAAAATAATCATTCCGAGTTGAGTTGCCTGGCCTTTCGCAATGCTGAGGTGAATCTAATTAGGGCACACAGGAAAGTAGCAAACAGTACAGTACATTTTCTTGAATCAACCCACGGATGGACAATAGCTGCATGATGTAGCTGTGCCGCACTTGGGCGAGTTTACCCTAGGCCCTAGTACATATACATATATATATATATATATAAGCATATGTATATATATATATGTAAATATATATATATATATGCGTGTCTATATATATATATATATGTATATGTATATGTATATGTATACATTTATATACATAGACACATGCACCTGCTGTCGCGGTCTCTGCCAAAGCTCCGCTTCAGCTGGGCTGGTTGGCTCTTCACCCTCGGGGGCCACGTGCAAAACCAGGTCCAGCCACACCTCAAGGCTTTGCCATCCCGTAAAAGAAGAAGTCAACTCCTTGGTTGCTGTTGTTTTTTGGAAAATAGATGGCTTTCCCTGGTAGATGAGAAAAAAACCGCCAGGTAAACCAGGAATCGTCTTCTATTTCTTAAGCAAACCAATAAAAAGGACACCTATGCTTGGAATGAATCGCCTTCTATCTTTTAAGCAAACCAATAAAAAGGACACCTAGAATGGACATAAATCAGCTTCCCCCCAAAGTGGTGCTTTGGATTGGTGGTTTGGAGGGTAAGCGCAGTTTTCCAGTTACCCTCTACAAAAACCAGGGGTTCAAATCCCCAAACCACCAATTCAAACACTAAGCCAAGGGTTCCCTGAAGAAAAGCTTGGCTGCTGTTGACCCCCCTGCAAAAAGTGTCTAACTGTTTGAGGGTTTCGTGGAAAACCCCCTTGATTTCAACCAAGAAGCTAAAGTCTAAAGATCCGACCCAATTGCAGTTTCGTGCGATCAAACGCTGGACAGTTTGTGCGGGAGTATTTCGGATGGCTCCACTCAGTGGCTGGGAAACAACGCAATGATTGCGACTAATTCCCTCAACTGGATTCCTCTCCCATGGGCTCTGACAAGGCTCTTCAAAGGGCCTGGTTGCTTTCGACAAAAACTTCAAGAGTATTGGACAAATGTAAGGCTGCCTCTTCCAACAGACGCCATCTTTCAGTGCGCACTTTGGACAATTGACCATACGGCCTCACACTTTTGCACCTGCCATGAGTGCCAGTGCGACAAACATGTCTCCTGCTCGGTCAACCCCTTCTCATGACACTGGAAAGCTCCATGCAAGGCCGACGCGTTCGCGCGTGTTGCTTGTTTGTAATTTTGCCCGGCAATGAGAGGCCGAACGGCTGTATCTAGCCCTCTTTAGGCAGCCAACATGTCGAAAACAAACAGCAATATGTGTGCTTGTCTTTTGAAGGCTACCCTATGGGTCGATTTACACAAAAAAGACACTGCCGACACCCAACCATTTTTGTTGGTTTCCTTCGGACACAAACCCGCATACCCGCCGGAGAGCATCTTATAGTGCAGGTCAGCCGCAGGCTTGTGATCGCCTAGCGGGCTCAGGGTCCCAAATGGTGTCGGACGGACGCATTGCAACGGACTAAACATGACCTGGTTTAACTCGGAGCATGGCCAAAATCACAAAATAGGGATGAATCAAGAGTGAGCGCAGCTAAGTAACCTGCCTGCAGTAATGAATCCTAGCAGCTGAAAAGGTCGTTGGATGCCTCATGCCTTACACCGATGGTGTTGCAGAGAGGGCAAGTTGCCAGCGTCAAAGTCCTAAAAGTCATACAAATTGCCCGGTGGGCATCAGTGTTTCACCAAGCGTACATCTCTGGCAAGCACGAACTTTGTTTCTAAATGGCCGTGTCTTTTTTTTGGGCCCTTTCTGGGGTTGGTTTCAAGGAAAACCAAAAGGAAAACTTACTTCTTGAGTGGATTGGCCAGAAAAACTCCAAACTTCTCATTTACCACTAAAACAACACCAAAAATATATCCTTGCAGTACTCATTCTTTGCGCAATCACGCACTCGGTAAAAAACATCGTTCTGTTCCCTCAGCTGTTGGATCACGCGATGCATCGTTCTGCTCCACATTCATCGTTCTGTTCCACTCTCATCGTTCTGTTCCATGTTATTTTTCCACTTTCGAAGTCCGGTGCCGCCTCGAGTCCGTTACTGGAACAGAATGGGGAACTCGGGCTCTACGGGCCAAACTCCCCATTCTGTTTGTACTATCGCTCTGTTGGCAAACATCGTTCCGTTTGGTTTGAACAGGGTTCAAACATCGCCCCTTCGGTTGGGGGCCTTTGTTTCCAGGGGTGGGGAGGTTGCCGGCGCTCTCCGAGTTTGGGGTCACCATGTGGCTGTGGAAGCCGTTGGGCGGCATGGGGTACGGGCTTTGGTGGCTTTCAACGGACCCGGAGAGGTCGAAGCCAGTTCCAGGGATCTTTGCCGCTTGCATTTGTTCATTCTGAATCTTGTCACGTCTGCCATTCTTACTAAACAATCAGTGGTTATCATATCTGCCATTCAGGCGTTCAATTTGAAAGAATCGGTATTGTCAATTTGTGCAGTTCTTCAGACAAAACAGCAATATCATCCCCATTATCTTTTCATCGCTGCAACTATCTAATACAGTGTTGTGTTCTATTCCAATAGTGGCTTGTCAAAAATAAATTGTCAACTCCTTAGCTTGTATACTTACGATTTACATATTCATATCTACATCCATGTCTACATCTATGGGGTGGGATGTTGCACAACTCGGAGCAAACAACCGGAACGGGCTGTGGTTTGCTTACAAGAGGCGCTTTCAAAAGTTATCAAGTCACTTCCCCTTTTAAAGATTCCCTCAGGGGGGCCCCCAACTCGTTACGGCGGAAGCAAACAAGTCCCAACCTCCGCAAGCCTAAGCTGGGCCCTGCCCTAACGCTTAAACAATATATATATATACAAAGACATATATGTATAGATATAAGTTGTGTTATTTATTTGATTTACATATTTATCACGGGCTATCTCATCGAACACAATATGGCTTCAAAACAACAGTCGCACTGCCAATTGTGCAAATTTGAGGCGTAGTAGGCAGTAGCTCCGTTTACTGTCTAACTCGACGTTGCACAGACATGCGGGTTGATCAATACTTCCTTTCGGCCCCCAAATAGCGATTGAATTCTCCTCTTTTGTGGTTTTCCAACCAATGGTCAGATGTTCATCGGATCTGTTGATCGACCCCCATGTGGAAAATATCCATTTTTTCTGTGGCTGTCCAACCACTGCCCGTCCCATGCAGACCCCCGCCGCCATTTTATCTGCGTCCAGCCACTGGCCGTCCCATGTAAACCCCCGCCGCCATTTTATCTGCGTCCAAACCACTGGCCGTCCCAGCTAAACCCCCGCCGCCATTTTATCTGTGTCCAACCACCTGGCCGTCCCATTAAACTCCCGCCGCCATTTTATCTGCGTCCAACCGCTGGCCGTCCCAGGTAAACCCCCGCCGCCATTTTATCTGCGTCCAAACCACTGGCCGTCCCAGCTAAACCCCCGCCGCCATTTTATCTGTGTCCAACCACCTGGCCGTCCCATTAAACTCCCGCCGCCATTTTATCTGCGTCCAACCGCTGGCCGTCCCAGGTAAACCCCCGCCGCCATTTTATCTGCGTCCAACCACCTGGCCGTCCCATGTAATAGCAAACCCCCGCCGCCATTTGATCTGCGTCCAACCACCTGGCCGTCCCATGTAAACCCCCGCCGCCATCTTATCTGCGTCCATCCACTTGGCCGTCCCATGCAAACCCCCGCCGCCATTTTATCTGCGTCCAACCACCTGGCCGTCCCATGCAAACCCCCGCCGCCATTTTATCTGCGTGCAACCACCTGGCCGTCCCATGTAATAGCAAACCCCCGCCGCCATTTTATCTGCGTCCAACCACCTGGCCGTCCCATGTAATTGCAAACCCCCGCCGCCATTTTATCTGCGTCCAACCACGTGGCCGTCCCATGTATCCCCGCCGCCATTTTATCTGCGTCCAACCACATGGCCGTCCCAGCAAACCCCCGCCGCCATTTTATCTGCGTCCAAACCACTGGCCGTCCCAGCTAAACCCCCGCCGCCATTTTATCTGTGTCCAACCACCTGGCCGTCCCATTAAACCCCCGCCGCCATTTTATCTGCGTCCAACCGCTGGCCGTCCCAGGTAAACCCCCGCCGCCATTTTATCTGCGTCCAACCACCTGGCCGTCCCATGTAATAGCAAACCCCCGCCGCCATTTTATCTGCGTCCAACCACATGGCCGTCCCATGCAAACCCCCGCCGCCATTTTATCTGCGTCCAACCACATGGCCGTCCCATGCAAACCCCCGCCGCCATTTTATCTGCGGTCAACCACCTGGAAACCCCCGCCGCCATTTTATCTGCGTTCAACCACCTGGCCGTCCCATGCAAACCCCCGCCGCCGTCCCATGTACCACGGAGGTTTTGATGAAACCCCCCGCGTCGCTGCGCGTCGCTGCGCGTCGCTTCGTCCAGGGCGCTGCCCTGATGCGCGTAGTCCACCCGGTAGCCCTTCTCCGGCAGATCCCAGCGGAGCCGCGGCGCCAAGGTGTCCGGGGCCCAGAAGATCATGCGGTCAGCGCCTGACGGGATGCTTCTCCTCCGTTTGCTCAAGTCCCCGGACTTTTCGTGGCTCAATTTGTCCCAAAAAACGTCCATTTGCTCAAGCCCCCGGCAAAAACTAAACATATGTCCAGCAGTGGTGGACTCCCTTGAAAACCACCAGGAGAAAATAGCATGTTTTCTTTTTAAGCGAATGGAAGTTAAGAACATTCAAGGGACAGCTGGGCCGTTCAAATTGCCCCATGTTAGATCCAATTGTCCAGCCCGACTGGGAAACTGCAAGCGTTGTTCAACCCAAGGTAAGGCTTCAGGATTGCAATTGAGCAGCCCAGCCAAAGAACGTCACGGCTCATGAACACGGTTGCGCTGCAGCTGTGTACTGGCAAGAAGTCGCGGCTCCAAGTTGGGTAATCTGATGCATGCGTCCACTAGAATAATCTTAGTCATGGCCCAGAGACTGGCAAAGTTCAACCGGTCGCACATGCCACAAGTCGCATGCAACCATTCCGGGCAACTGGGCAAATGGGCAACTGGGCAAGGTGCTTGTGGATGGACAAAATCCTGCACCACCTAAGAAACCCTCGAACGATGATTGGCGTGTCACTACCAACAAACAATGGTTTCCCTTGGTTTCAAAGTGGTGCAGGATTTCTTCCATCCACAGTATGTTGGCCCCTCCGTCAATCACCGCCAGTTCTGCTGCAGGCAACCCATAGGCAGTGTCCAAAAGGCTTGTGCACACGCACAAGCACACACACACACATACACCTGTACACACCCGCACACGCACAAATAGCCATGGCGCATATATTTCCCATGGATTGCCAGGCCTCTGTTGGCCCCTCTAAAGCCTGGAGCCTCCCAGCGAAGCTCCGATCCCCGGCTGCCGCCGACCCGGTTCGCCGTCTCTCGCGGATCCAAGGGCCGCACAGGCGGGAAAGCGGAAGGCGCGGAAGGAGGACTTCTTGAAAGCCAGACCCCAGCCTCAGCCGCAGGCGGCTTTTTTTTTGCCAAGGATTCCCTGACGATTCCGACAGCTGCAAAGGCTGTTGCTGAGCCTCGGGGCCAAACAAAAACAGACTTTCTAGCACAAAATGGCCGTGACAAAGCGAAAAAGCAGCTCTTCACCATGCATTGCAGCCTAAGCCCTTAGCTGTCAAAGTGGCCGCTTCCAAGATAAGATTGGGTCACGGACAAGAAACACTTGGACCTGCAACATGCCCAGTAGACTGAAACCTTTGCCCCAAGGCCGGGCAATGGACCGAACGCTTTAGACAGCAATCGCGTAAAGAGTGCAGCATGCTCTGCTTAGCTGGGGGGCGGCCAACTGCTTCTTCCGCATCCGTCAAAGTCTCAGCGTACTTCCTGAGCCATTGGCCAATGCAACAAGGGTGTGGGTCAAAATTAAACCACCAGAAAAAAACATCGCAGGGTTTGGTCCATGTTTCCACTTACCAGGGCAAGCTATTCTGGGTACACTTTTTTGACCCAGAGCCACATCTGACTGCCCGCGTATAACTTCCTGTGTGGACTCGACAGGAAAAGTCGAAACTTGCTGTTTGCCCAAGATGGTCTTCCCAATAGTTTGAAGTTCATGAACTCGGGGAGTGAGGATTGCGTCGAGGCAGTGCTATTTGATAACTGAAGACGACAAGTGGGACACGGTGTTCTGACAAAAGACTGTCCTTGCAGCACTCGAGCACATTCAATGAAGCAGCGCATCCCAGTTCTGAAGATTTCCCTGAACATGACATGCCCAAATCCCAAAATATCATCCACCCCAAACTGCAACTGAGCTACGAGGGCATTGTTTTCCTCATGCGGTATGACAAAAACCATACTGAGCCAGTCAATCCTCGGCACGAGAAATGATTGTTTTCCACTGGGAGCTGTCCAGGAGATCCATCACAAATGTTGCGCTTGCCAAAGAATAGTTGGTCCAGAAAAAGCGACCGCCAGGCGAAGCAGGGAACCGTAAAGTGGGAATCTGGGCGGCAAAATGCCTGGGTTACCATTTGCTTTTGCGCCAACATAGTCTGCAGCAAATGGAAGGTTGCAATTACGCACCTGGCATCTCTCGAGCCTTCGGTTTTGGGAGCAATCCCCAGGCCTGGGCGAATGTGCGCTGTTCCTGTCCTGCGCACTGGGGAAGAGCCTGCGCAGCCAGGCCGAGCCGGCTTGACGGCCCAAACGTTGCAGCAAAACAAGCCGATGGTCGACACCTTGCAAGCTGTTTGCCCCATAGGGAAAACCATGTTGAATGGCCATCTGCAAGATTTGCCTCCAAAACGTGCATCAGGCAGCTGAATAAGACCCATGCAAGTTGTTCCGGGGCAAAGGGGGAGCACCGGATGATATTGCCGACCCATGCGCTGATGGCTGTTTCCCCGAACGTCTGCCACAAGTTGCCAACGTCTCACAGTTCCCCTCAGGATAAAACTCCTACAAGAAGACGTTCCCAAAAGGACGATTCGGTGGGGCCTCAAGCAGCTCGCTTTTTACTGTTGAACACATGGATGCCAACAACTAGTGGGCGAGATCCCAGTCTACATGCAACTATTGCATCCTGAGCCACATGTTCTCGCTTCATGAGGGAATTGGCCAAAACAAGTCTGAACTGTTCCTTCACCAAAATGGTCTTAAGCAGCTCCAAGGCGAAAGTGAGGACCGCATGACTTTGCAGTCTGCTTTTCGGCATCATGGTTTTTGCGTATGCTGTGCCAGCCACAAAATCTGTACCTGACCTACCAAAAATGCCACGTCTGCACGACAGAAGACCACAAGACTACGGACACACAGAAACGAAAAGAAAGAAAACCAACACAACCCAAGAGACAGAGAATCACAGACGAGGACACTTTAAAGAATCAGACTGAGGTGACAAAATTGATCTATTGGGACACACGGCGATAGACTAGGAGACACAGAGAAGCGGAAAGGTAAAATTTTGGGGAATTTCTGAAGTTATGCGAAGGAAGAAAGACCACCAAGACCCAAAGACATCACACCCAAAGGATGCAACAGCACAGGAGGGCAACTATATTGCAGGCTGATTGAACATCTGAATTCACAATGTTTAACGCAAGGAAAGACCACTATGCAGGAAACCAAGAGGAAAAGAAGCATCATTGACAAAGCAGGATTAACTGCTTTACGAGGGTGTGCGTCTGTCATTGGTGCAGTGCCAGTGCAAGCGTGATCGGATTGAAAAATTGGTTGTGAAGGCAGTCCGGAAGACAGGTCAGGGCTTCCTCAAGTGTTGATCTCTGGAGGTGGATGTGGCTGTTGAAGGGCAATAAGGAGTACGTGTAGCTGATTGTTTATTTTTGCATGGGAAGATCCAACTCTTGTGCGTGATGGTGTTGGTTGCTGTCTAGTGGTGATCCTGTAGTTGTTTCAGCACGTAGTGCTCCTGTGGTCTTGTTGAGTTGTAGTGCAGTCTTCACTCCATCTGGTAGTGCCGTGCCGTTGCTTGTAGCGGTTAATCTCATCAAGGCCTGCGGTCAAGTCATGCACATATACAAGGGACGTTGTACAGCATGATACTTGACGTCTCTCTTTCTGCCAACAACCTCTACACACCACAAAATCACACGCAAGGCTTTTACATGCCCCTTCGGCCCGTGGGCAATGAAAACAATCAAGTCATGCCTGTCCCCAATGGACCTGCAGAAACTTGTACCCCTGCAACCTGCAAACGTGGATCAACATTTCAGCTCGATTCAGATTCGAGCCTTTGCGCAACGGAAGCTCAGGGACGACCAAGGCTTGCTAGCTAGGGATCATTTCAGTTCCCAGTGCTTCCAGTTGGCATGAACAGGCACTATACGTCAGGGATCCTTACGCAGTTTTTACATCGTAGGATAAAACGGATACCTGGCTGCCTATTGGCAAAACGCCATAAGGATGTTGTTGGACATGTTGAACGTACAGAGAGATTTGTAGACAGACAAAAAGAAAAATAAATGGATTGATAGATAAATAAATAAATATGTAGATAGATATGCGGGAGATAGGTGGAGGATAGATATATGGACAAATAGAGACACATAAAAAAAAAAAGATAAGGAAGAGATGGACGTGCCACTGTTTTCAGTGCTTGTCGTGGTGGTGGTGGTGGTGGTGGATGTTGTTGGTTATCAACTTTTTTGATGACTGAGAAACATGGTGTCAACAACAACATGAACCAGATGACCTATCTGTATGTACCCCTCTATCTGCGTTGAAGGGTTGTTGGCTTGTCCTTTAGCCAATGCTTTCCTCAGTTGCCCAACTAAAAATGAACCAAAAGGAGGAAACCGAAAGGTCAGAGGTCGATTCGCCTGCGAGTGGGTTTCTGAAAGGGTGGTTGGCCTGCTAGATGATCCAGAAGTGTCCAAGACAGCGTGGATGCTGATCCAGTGCAGTGCTGTTCTAGGGGTTGATTTTCCAGTCTTTTCAGCCATCGTTCTTTTCAAAAACCAGCCATTTCCCCAGGGTGTTGGTGATTAGAAAGATTCAGATCCCTGGAAAGAATGGAATTGGAAGTTACCCCTAGCGCTGTGACGAAGCGTGCGGTCGTAACGCAACGGTGTTCCCCAGGCGGCCGCTACGCCACTTGTGCGAACAGCAAAAGCCGTGCTCGAGCCCCAGTTGCTGTCTGAATCCCTGCTAAAAGTTTAACTTTTAGCGGTTTAATACGGAAAACCCAATGGTTGGCAAAAGTTAAAGTCCTAACATCCAAGCAAAATGCACCAAAGTTGAGACTGACTCAAAGACACGACATACAGAATGAGTTTAAAAATTGTTGCGGCTGGATCCTTCCTTGAGCTCCTCAAGATTGGCTTCAGTGGGTGACAAAAGTAACTAGCCATGGCAAAAGCTTCCGCGCTTGCTTTCGCAGCAGCCTTCTTCCCAACAAATGTTCATTGTTGGGACACAGGGGTTTCAAAAACACATCGCTCTTGCTAAGCTGCTAAACGTGCAAAGGTGTATTTTCAGACCCTAAGCTCGTTGTCTCTGATTGAATTTGTGGAGTCCAATGCACGTGGGGTGTCACACGGGCGTTCGTCTCCTGCTTGGATCAAATCTAACTTGCTCGCGGCCTTGGCAGGGATTGTTGCCCGGGATCAGGTGTGGAACAACAAGTGCCTGCACAGAGTGGTACGTGGCAAACCCTGATGCCGGACAGCCCAATCCGGGAAGGAAGAATTCGGCAGAACATCTAGCGATGTTTGGCTCCACCAAATATAATGTAATGGGGTTAAAGAAGCACACATGAGAAGTTACATGCATCACGCCAGGAGTCACGCCCTTGCTAAAACAGGGTGGTCCTTTCGAAACTCTTTTGAGACAAGTTGGGCATACATCCAAAAACCCTTTCGCTCAAAAGGAAAACCCATACAACTTTCCAACAAGACCTCGGTGCTCTTGGCTGCGTGCTTCATAATATTGGGGGGGCACCCCATACATGGGTCAACAAAAACACACCTCCCTGCTCGCTGGCTCTCGGCCTGGCTTGGCTGGCGGCCTCCAGGACGTCGGAAATCCGAAACTCCTCCGACGCCGAGCCGGGCTGGAACCTGAGAGGCTGCCCAGTGGAGTCAGTGGAGCGGCATCCGACCACTTTTTGGGCTGAGGTTCCAGGAATCGGAACCCCTCCCAAAAAGAAAATGAACGGGAACCCCTCCCAAAACGGAAAAAGGGACCTGCTGGGCAACTGGGAAGAGCCAGAGACATCATCAAAATCTATCAAGATGGTCAGGACCCAATACCACGCGTCCATGATACAAGCGGAGGTACCCGATTCAATCGCTTCGTGGCAGCGTGCCATGGACCGTCCCCGACGCTCGAAAAGAACACGCCGATTGAACGAAGAGTCTTTGCCCGGTTCCAGCCACACTTCCAGCCAAGGAAGCTGGAACTCCTTGCCAAAAGCCAGTCCTTTCGGTGATAGCCGTCTCTTCTACTGGACGAGCAAAACTCACTTCCCAACTTGACTGGCCAAAAAAAGTCTGAACTTTTTATTTACCACTAAAATGGTCTTTCCAAAAAGTTTAAAGTCCATCAACTCAGGAGTGAGAAAATGCCACGCCGATAAAAGAAGCCTGAAAGCCCGAACCACTCCATCTTGTGCTGAAACACAAAGCCCCGCCTGCATGACACATATCGCTTGTGAGACCCTTTAGTCGCAAAAATAAATGGCTGATAAACCGATGCAACCTCAAGCCTCGCGCCGGCACTTTAACCAAGGTTGGGTTGCCACCTATTTGCATGTGCTGCTCAAACCTCTTTTTTGGGTTGTCTCTCTGCTGCCCAGCCCAGCCCGAGGAGCTTGTAGGTCACTGGAAGGCTGGTCGCGCCCAGACTTTCAGCCTCTGGACACCCAACCTCGCGTGGGTTTACGCAAACTGCGCCAGCGTAGTTGAGCACCCATTGCATGAAGCAAACAGCATTGGAGTCTCAAAACCCGGTATTAAAATGGTGTACCCAGAGCCATGTAAAGAATTAGGAAGGCGGATATCCGCAACTATTTCTGGCTGGGACTGCCCCTTACTAACCCTCATCTACCCGAATCGGTTTTGATAGTGACTCATTGAACTGAGGGGTGGTCAACCCATGACCCATATCTTTGCAGGTGCTCAGCAGTCCTGTGGCCACTGCCAACTCAAAGTTGGTGTCAGTGTACCACTAGTACACCCCCCCTGATTCGAGTTCCCCGGTTTGCCTCCCAGATTCCTGCTAATACTTAAGTAAAGCCAACAAGGTTTTCCCAAAAAACCTACCCAATCATTTGTTGGGCCTCCCCAACCCTCCCCCCCCCAAATTGCAGGCATCCCTTTGCAGGCCCCAAGCCTAAAAAGCTTGCTACAAAAGGGGCATTCATTTTCGCGTAGTGTTTGCTTCGTTTGCGCTTAAGCCCACCAATGCTAAGCCACTAGCAAGCCCCTCAAGTTTTCCCAACAAATGCGCTTCCCCAACGTGCATTTATTGAACTGTGTTTAAAATGACCACGTGTTCAAGCTAAGGGGATGCCTTTTTTTGGCTCAAAACGAAAGACTGCTGCTGCCGCTTAAATTCCCCTGGCCCAGAAGGGCCAGGAAGGCAGTGCAACGGGCTGGGAAGGGGCCAGAATTGAAAGGACGAGCACCGGAGGCTCCGGATCAAATCTTCTCGACCTTACGGGGGGCGCTGGATGCGGAAAAGAGCCAAGAACATCTTGGGAGCTTACGTGGCACCACCGTCGCCGAATCGAATTCGGCTTGCTGGCTTGAAGCGTTTGGATCGATCCGCCCGACCGATCAGTACCAAACACCCCACGAGTTGGGCAGATCGAAGCGGATCGAGGCCGTGGGGTCCGTCTCTTGGATGTGGTGACGTTCCCCATTAATCTAGGGGTTGCTTCCCCATTCTTTTCAACCATCGTTCTTTTCAAAAACCGGCTGTTCCCCCCCCCCCCCCTTCTTCTGATGGTTTCCTGAAAAGAAGGATCCCTGGAAAGAATGGGGAAGGTACCCCTAGAATTAAGACAACTGTGACGGCAAAGCCTACTTTTCTCAACTGAAAGCACTCGTGTAACTCCGTGTAAGCGCTGCGGATCACTTTGTGCTGCCACAAAACCCCTGGAATTGCTTGTTGCGAACAAGAATGCCACATGATTTGCCCAGTGCCGGTTTTGTCTCAATGACTCGGAAGGGAAACACATCGCCATTCAGGGGGGCCAGCAAAGAAAGTTGATATGAAGTAGAACCAAACCTGGGCTGCCCTCAGATCCCCCGCTAAAAGTTGAGAACCTTTAGTGGGTTAAATGGAAACTACCACTAAACACTAAAAGGATCTAAAAAGCTAAGGAACCGGATGGCTGAGAGCCACCGAGAAACCCTAGTACTGTACTACTTGTCTGCACTGAATCACCGCGCCTCGTACCACCGCCCGCTTGGAAGATCCATGCCGCCTCGTATGCTGAGACTCTGCGATTTGTGAAGCTCCCGGATGTTCAATTGCCTTTGCCGCACGATAAACAAACAAGTTTACTACCGACCCCGGATTAATAAACCCCTGCTTATTAATATGGGGGTGTTCCACTCCAAAAGTGATAAACCCCCCACTAAAACCAGGGACACCCCCAAATATTCACAAACAGGGGTTTATTGATCTGGGGTCAACATTGCTAAATGTAAATCAGAAGGACTGGATATACCACCGGAAGAAGGCGCGCCGTCACACACACAACATTGTCCAAATCGGTTGTTGCGAATGTCAACCGTTTACTGCCGTCATGAAACAGGCCAATGTTGCCAGTAGTTCCAACCGTGAAGTCTGACAAAACATTTTCCAACCAGCGGACCAGCCAACCAGCCTGGACCAGCCGGCCAGCCCAGACCAGCTATCCAACCCACTAGCCAGGCGGGATTCCGAGTAACTGCTCTGTTTCCAAACAACATGGAAGTTGACAAAGGGCTTCCCCAAACGCAAACTAGTCTTCCAAAACCCTCTTGTCCAGCTGTCATGATTGTTGGAAGGAGGGTAACCAAGCGACCAACTTTATTATGCTAATACCACACTTATCGACCATACGTTCCTGATCTTCGCCTAGGCCTCATGCTGAACTGCCTCCAAGCTTCGCTGAATCGCCCGCTGAAGCGGCATGTCTTTCAGCACCTGCAGTGGCAAAATCCCACCCCTGATTCCGCCTCAACCCTGTCAAGTTGCACATGATTCGCACAAAAGGGGCAATGACTGTCAGCCAGGCATCAAACAACGAGCACCCAAAGAACTTTCTCTAATCTCGGTTGCTTTCTGCCCCCCTGCTAAAAGTTTGTTTAACTTTTAGTGGTTTAATACGGTAAACCCATTAGTTGGCAAAAAGCGATTCTGTCCTAACATCCCTTGGCACAATGCACAGTAAGCTTCTGCGTTCAAGTCTATCCCGCTCGTTCAGGCCCTCTCGGACTCGAGCACTGTGAATGGACGAAATCCATTTCGCACCAGTTAGAAACCATGGGAAATAACTGTCCGTTGGTATTTACAGTGGAATCATGGTTCCAGGTTTCTGAAAGGTGGTGCAAAATGGATTTCGTCCACAGTATGGCAGCCCTGCGCCTCCAGCAGCAGATCCTTGGCGCGACCCTCCAGGATGGTTCGGCTATTGAGATCTCCCTGCAGGAAGAGCAGCGTTTTGCCTCAAAGCGCGCGCCAGAAGCGAGAATCGGAGACCAAATGCTTGGTTTGGGCCGCTGCTTTAAGGGGCATTGTACGTGGTGGGTAATCACCACGGGTACAACCCAAGTACAATGGCTATAAGTCTCCTAAGTGGAACCTAAGCAGGCTTACCAACCACTTAAGCCCAATGCCCCCGAGTTGTCTTCCAAAGCCAGCCCCGAGTCCGACAGACTACTCAGCTCATGTCCACCTTCCGCCGCGTCTGCCACGCGCGGACGCGGCTACTCCTTTCTTTGGCGGGCTCTTTCCTGGTAGGTTTGGGCAAAGGCCTCCAAGCATGCGGCATACTTGCTGACTTTCCCTTGGTTGCCCGAACCCTTTGCAACGGACATATGCTTGAGTGACCCCCCCCCAAGCGGGAAAAACACATTGATAAACATGTCGATCCCTTGCCGAGCTTCTGTCCATCCGCAGTTGCTTTGCACAGCCTCGCAGCACCAAACGGAGTATGCCAGCCCAAAGATGCTTGGCGGCCTGCGTGCGGTCGCGGTTCCGATTCAGGGATCCATCATGTTTCATGGAATAATATACATACAAACATATATTCATAATAGCTATGTATATATATATATATATTATACACATGACTCATCTAAATCTTCTACGTTTCATTTGTTCTGGGAACTACCATTCAGTTTCAGTCCATCATGTTAGTCCGGTGGGAACTTTAAATGCGAGGCCAAACATGACACACCGTGCGTTCTCAAGCAGTGTTTTGTGGGTGGCCCATCCGACCAAACAGTTCGAGAGCAGATGTGATCAACATGGCCACAATTTCAGCACCAGCTCAACAACGCCCCCCCCCCCCCGACAGCTGGGTGACAAGGTTGGCATTGAGAATCTGAGTGGCAGCAGCTTTTGCCCTGCTTCCGCCTGGAGGGTGCTGATGGTCTTCCTTAGATTTCGCGTGCTTCCAGGGCCGGCAAGCCACTATTCAGCTTCCTTCCAATGTGGGAAACCGAGGATTTTCCATTGGACCCACAAAAAGCTTAAGTTTTTGGCAGAGGGGTCAACAGCAACCAAGCTTTTATTCAGGTAAGTTTTTGGATTGGCGGTTTGGATTTGGATAGAGGTAGATGGGAAACCTCCACCAATCCAAACCACCAATTGGAAGGAAGCTGAACTACAGGGAACCAGGAAAAACCATCCATGGTAAACCAAGAGGTGGCTGTGGGTCAAAAATAGGTACCCAAAATGGCTTGCCCTGGTAAATGGACATATGGACTAAAACCTGCGGTCCGATTTCTGATGGTTCAATTTTGACCCGTACCCAGATAAGACTAGCGAAAGGTTACCTATAGTAGCGAACCGCCAATCGGAAGCACTGGGTCTGAGTTCAAGGTCTAGGGCAAAGGTTGCGCTGAGGGGCCAGAAAAAGCACCAGCCTTTGATTATGCTTGCCTTATGTGTGTTGCTCGTGGGCTTGACCAAACCTGAGAGAAGACGGACCGAAAGCTGGCACCATTTCTCAGAATCAGAAGTATTCAGAAGGGTCAAAGCTTCCGTTTCATCATCCTGCTTCAAACAAGTCTTCCTAGGTATCCCCCCGCCGTGTGTGAGCCAGCAACGTCAAAACTGCGAGTCAAATCCAAGCAAACGGGCAAGATGCAACGGCAGGCAGCCCATCCCGGACCAACCAGGAACGTCGAAATGGCAAGTTTAAACCAACAGCAAAGCATCTAGGCAATCCACGGCACGCAGAACAGGCCAGCCGGGAATCGACCACCCCTTCACGCGCTTCACACAACCCCCCCCTCAAAGCCTCGCTGCTTTCGGGAAACGGGGATCGAGCCCAGGAACTGGGGGATCGACCAATGGGACGACCTCTCCCGCGAAGGCGCGCAGAACACTGGATGATTTGACTCACATCGGTAGAAGCAAAAACCACATTGTTCCCAACTGACGTTCACCAAAGCATTGTACAAGGGCCTGGCCTAACTTTAACTCCTCCCAAAGCATCTCTGGCCATCCTCAATTCATTTGGATATGACTTTGACCCTATCATTTACATGGTGATCTATATGCTCCAAAGTCAAATTACATCTCTTGGCTGGAACTAGGACCCTAGCAAACACAAATATTGTTTGCCTGGTTAGTGGAAAACAAAGGGGACCCCAAAAAGGCAAAACAACAAGAAGGGGAACTAATTCTGGGGAAGATCTCTGGGTCATTTCTGAGGCCCATCCCCTCGAGAACCTCACATTGGCCATTTTCCGCTTCGGCGCTGGCTTGAGCCAGGCTTGAGGCTTGAGCCCTGCCCAACGCTCGCAGCCCATGGAGATCGGCGGTTTGCGGATGATCCATGGTGAAAGACCTGTGTTTGGGGTTGCTCCGAGCCCCCGAAAAGAACATCATGGGGGCTGGGGGGGGAGGGAGGGGGAGGGAGCCCAAATAAGCCCTTATTAAGCCCTTCATAAGGCTTATTTGAGGCTTGTTTGGTCCCCTCCCTCCCCCCCCATGAGAGCAGGGTTGATGTCCTGAGTGGCAAAGCCATGAGTTTCCAACAGGTCCAAGGGGCTAAGGTCACGCAACTGGGTTGCACTAAACCGACGGATCTCCAAGTCGCGGCTGCACTAAAGACAAAGGCCACCCTTTGAGTAGCCTTTGAGTGGGACCCGTGGCCACTCTGCAATTAAATTCTTGCAACCCCAGAAACTGGTCAATCCCACAAGGAGGTTCCTCTAACGATCCCAGTGCTTCCAGGCTTCGGTATGGCTACCTCAAGATTTTCATCCTGGGGAAACCCCTGGTAACCTACTACAGAGGGAACTGGAAGCACTGGGAATGAGTCTTTTACGAGCGCTATGTTCATGTCCAGGAGCGTAAGACTTAAACCTGGCTCTTCCCGTTCCTCCAGCGTGTCAACGTCGAACCGCTTGGAAGTAGGGAAGGGAGCTAACGCACAAGCCGCTGCCTACACCCAGGACAATGCCACCATAGGTGACCATGCCTCCGGCGAAGCCTGTTTGGAACAACTTCCGCAGTCCGATGCTGATCCCCATCATGAGCATCAAGAGGGGATAGAAACCTGGAATCACATCATCCCAAATCCTACTGACTCGCTTGGGCCCCCCTAAGGGAAAATGAACAGATTGAAAGCTCTTTGGAAAACTGGGAAACCCATTGACTCATTGTCTGTTTTTCTCTACCATGCGTATCAAGGTTTTCACTAAGCCACTAAGCCTTCTCCATTTAATTCGCTTGGAACCACCTGGCCATGGGTCAAAAGCCAAATCGTACCCCCAGTAAACATCCCAGTCCCCACAAAAATAAAGCCCAAAATGGGGGTGCACCTACCCCAAAATGGGATCCAAAACGGTTTTGACCCACAACCACCTATGCCCATAGGACATGGGAAATGGTCATAGGTGTCCTTTTAGGGGACTTAGATGGCCCTGGTAGATGATAAAACCACCAGCTAGACCAGGGAAACCCATCTATTTTCCCTCAACAACCAAAAAGGACACCTGTGGAACTGGTGCGCCGAAGATCTGGGTGCGAAGATCTGCCACGGCCTGGCGTCCGGCAGATTCTCGAGGCGCAGCTGGTTGCCACGCGCCGTCTTCGTCAGCACCAAGCGGCCTTTGGCGATGCCCGCAGCCACGCCCAGGGCCAAGGCCAGGCAAATGGCCCTGGAGGCTCTGAGGTGGGCGGAAGCCGAACTCGAATTCAATTGACTTCTAGGCTACCTTTCCCATTCTGAACCCAGGGATCCGATTCTTGGTTTTTGAAAAGAACGACGGTTGAACAGAATGGGGAATCAAGCCCTAGAAAACTAGTAAAACTCATTCAACACCAACTTCCCAGATGAGTAAAACTATTCTAAACTTAACGGGGTGTCGGAGGGAATCCGGTGGGATCCGGATCACTTTTGTGGACAACCCCCCCCCCCCCCCAAAGTTGATGAATTTCTACCGGTTGATTCCCCATTCTTTTCAGCCATCGTTCTTTTCAATCCAGCCGCCATTTCCCCAGGTTTTGGGTGGTTTTCTAGATAGAAAGATCCCTGGGTTCAGAATGGAATTGGAAGTTACCCCTGGATTAAATCGATCCGCTCCCAAAACGACTCCGACTCATCCGGTTCTTCTCCAAGCTTCGGGCTACATGAAACGAAGGCTCCGAATCGGCGGTCCCTTCCGGCCGAATCCTCGTCCGCTTGGTTTCAACAACCGCTCAGAAAGGCTCTCCACTTTTCGTGGTTGAAAATCTGAAGGTTGCAACCAAACAGGTTCAGATAGCCAGATAGCCATAAAGCACCATATAGCCGGTTCAGTGTTTGTCTTTCTTTCCGAAGATCCGTTGCCAGATAGCAAGTGATGGGTCCGATCAGATCGCTGGGCAACAGCGATCTGATCGACTTGGGGCTCCATTTGGGGCGCTCCATCGGAGCGCCGCTTTGGCAACATGCTTCAAGGCGTTTGGTCTATCGACACTTGATGACATCTAGTTGCTTCCCAAGAACACGGCACCCCCGGTGGAAAAAAAAACAGCAAATAGGCAGTGTTCTTATTTTCCGTTTGTCTGCACTTCAAAACCATCCAATGCAAAGTGTCCCAAAACATGGCCATGTTCCGAACACGCCAGATGCGGAAAAACAACAAACACAAACTGCGACGTACGACCCAACCATATCCAGTCCTGCGGGGTGCGCCGGCTTCTTGCGCCTGGCGCAAGTAGCGACAGCCGCGCAGCAGCAGCATGGAGCCCATGAGGAGCCAGATGGCCCCTGCGCAGCGCTGCGCCTAAAAGGCGCTCGAAAAAGTTGCAGTGAGGCCGGACGCGGTGAGGCGGCTTGAAATGATTGCAAGCCCAAGGGCGCCCAGTTTGGAACACTGATTGAGACCTGTCGCAGTGTGAGAATCACACGCGCTGTCTTTTTATACGGGATCCTGATTGAGGGCAAGTGCCGTTTGATTGGTTGGGTTACAGCCCCCTTTTTGAAAGGCTGGCCCAAACTCAGGGAAACACTTTAACAAACAAATGAAGCATAGGGTCAGGCAAGGCAACACGGGGAGGGGGGGGCGCCTATGGCAAAACAATGCAACACAGGCGGGGCAAGCCAAAAGACCATGGCAAACCGCAGGTTCGCAACGTCTTTGGCTTCAACTGCGTAGACCGGGAAATGTGTATGATGTCTAACACCCCTGACAGCACCAAATCTTTATGGCTATCGTGGCTATTGGGTTGGATCTGCGGACGTTAAGTTTTTGGGGTCTGAGGACTTTCCTTTGGACCCACAGAAAGTTAAACTTTTTGCAGAGGAGTCAGCAGCAACCAAGAAATAGTGTTCTGATGCTGAAGTTGCTTGCGCTTCTTGGAGAGAAACGTTTGAGCATCCGATCTCAAACAACCTTGAGTCTCGGTCGGGAATCTCCGCATCAGTCCTATTTACGTATGACTGGCAAATACATGTTGTCACCTCGGCAACTCGTCTGCGAACTTGACTGCCAAACTATGGTGATTGTTCATAAATTCTCTGTGGGTTGCTTAAATAATTCAAATATCTTCAAACCACCCAAAAGGAGGACACTCAAAAAAAGGCGCATCCATATCCCCCTCACGAAACGAACGACCTTGCCTACGTGCAACAAGCAAACATATTCCCCGCAATACGCATCTGGCTGTGGGTCAAAACCAATGGTACCATTTTGGGGTAGATGCACCACCACTTTAGTCTATAGTGGGGATTGGGATGTTCACTGGGGGTACGATTTGGCTTTTGATCCATGGCCATCTCCCCGAAGGAAGTACATCATTCCTGGGCGCGCGGGCCTTGTTCGGCATTCTGGCAGCCGCCAAGTTGCCGCCTCGCCGGAGCAGCTGGTGACCCTTGCAAGGATGCACCAGCTGCGCATCAACAACGTCGGCTTGAGCCAAAGCCAACAGCCATAAATCAATACGAATATGTAAATTCCGAAAATATATCTCTATATATATATATGTAAATGTATACATAGAACTTCTTAAGAACAATTTCCTCACATGTTCCTTAAAGACAATCCTAACGCGAATTCTTGGAAAAAGCGCGCATCTACCAACACAACGCAAATTTCGGCTCGACCTCTCCAGGTGGCTTGCCAGCCACTACTTGGCCCTCATCAGTTCCATTGTCAAGTTCCTTCCTATGAACTCCAGACCCTCTCAACCTGTGTACAGTCATCAAACTACCATGTTGAGTACCATTGCTCACCAGCTGTTCATGAGAGCCACGTAGCAAAACTGGTGCCCAGTCCGCAACTTGTTCAAGCGACAGAGGCAAGTTTTAAAAAAGTGTTTTTTGGCTTTCCGCAGATTTCCGTTTATTTTCAGCCGATTTCCGCGTATTTCCCGCCAATTTCCGCGTATTTCCCGCCAATTTCCGTGTAGTTCGGGTGTCCAAATTTGTGGGATTTTGGCACAAATCCATCGATTGCAACAATTGGGAGCAATTTCCCTAGCTGAACCTCACCTTGTTTGGGGATGTGGCGCATCCCTGCACCATGTCATGGAACCTACATGTCCCACTCGTATTTTGGAAGGTGCCCGCATGAAAGCCTTTCGACAAACGCTGGTCAATGTATAAGATCAGGCTAAATCAGCAGAAATCGCTACGAAACATGCAATTGGCAGTTTCCGCCTAGATTTCGGAATTTCAGCTCATTTGGCGAAATAAGACAAAACAAGTAATAAACAAAAAATGTCCTTTTTTGAGGGTCCAGGCATGTATGTATATATATATATATATGTATGTATACTTTGTAGAACTAGCATGGAAGAGAGAGAGAAAAAAGAAAGGGAGAGAAACAAAAAAGAACGTCCGGACATATTTTCGCACCTCTGTCCATTGCCAGAATTTCGTGCCATCGCAGGCTGACCTCTGGTCCTTTGCTCCCCTCTTCAATGGTCCTTTGCTCCGGTGTGCCGCATCAGGTGTGTCCAAGGTGCAAAATCGGAATCCTCAGCTGAGTGCCGCAAAGAGGAGTTCTTCTCCCATTGGCTTGTCGATTTTTGGAGGGCAGCTGGGACTCGGTTGCTTTCTGCCCCCACGCTAAAAGTTTAGCTTTTAGTGGTTTTAATTGAAAACCCAGAAGTTGGCAAAAGATAAAGCCCTAACATCCAAGGAAAATGTACCAAAGGGGACAAGGACATAAAAATGCCACGCAACTCCATCTGGGCTTCCGCATCGCTGTGCCAGGTCCAATTTGGGCGGTTCCGCCTGCTTCTGCTCTGTCCAAGACCAAGGCGGCCCAAAGCACCCTCCAAACGAACCGGGCTGGAGACGTTCTGAAGTGACCGGGCGGAAAACTACGGCATGTCGTAGTTCCAAGCTCCAAATCGCTCGAGGTTGCCACTGCTTCGACAGCCCTCAGCGTCTTGCCAGCGAACCGTCAGGGAAACTGGTAATACCAAAGGCTCACTCATCATGTTCTCTTCGCTCCTGTGCTCCAAATCCAGGATCCACAAGGCCGAAACTCTTGCACCGGAATGGTTGCCGTAACTACTGAACCTAAGACTGATGAATATAGTTAATATAGTGACCCGCTCCGAACCCCCAATGCACTCAAGTTTCGCGCCTTAAGGCGCCGCACAGCAAACACATGACCCTGAAACTGAGGCAGCGTCTCTCACTCTACAACAGTAGGACTTGTCATTCCCCTGCGCGGAAAAGCAAGACAGCGTCCTTCTTCTTCCGCTTCTTCTTGGATTTCCTGAATGCGCACATCGGATTCCGCTCGGAATTCGAGCAAACAATCCATGCTAGTCGGCAAGGACACTGTCAGAAATGCCTATGGCCCACGGAACTCGGACTCCTTCACGCGCACACATTCTGCTCATGCCTGTTTCACATACGCACTTCTCACACGTGCCACGGGGGGGAGTGCATTCACAGGAAACATCGCAAGCTAGCCATGGAAGACAAGCAAATCGACATAAGCATCCCGAGCTGACAAGACACCCGGGGAAAACGGGACCCTGCTAAAAGTTGTTGAGAACTTTTAGTGCCCCGCATGACTATGGTCCGTTACGTGGCCGGTGGCAGTTCCACGAACCCCGAACGCGTGTACAGATTAAATCATACGGCAATGCCCCAAGTGCGATAGACTTGAAGGGCAACCAAACGGCAAGGGAATTCTCCACAAAACCCACTAAAGAGCTAAAAGGCCAAGGAACCAGATGGCTGTGAGCCACCCAGGCTAACATGGCGCAACCAAGCCCCCAACAAGCTTGTCTGGAATTAGGACCCCAGCAAAAAACTCGATTTTTTGTTGCCGGTTAGAGGAGAACAAAGGGGACCCCAAAAAGGCAAAAAAAAAAGGGGAACTAACTCTGGGGAAGCAAACCCAATGAAAACCCAACAAACCCCACATGGCAACCATGGCAACAAACCTCTGCTTCCGCCTGGCAACCAAACCAAACAAAAACACGGCGCCCACCCAACGCCGCCCCTGCCTCTCCATCTCAGCCCAGCGCTGCCGCCAGGAGCTTGAGACATCCACGGCGGAACTTTCCAGCAGCGGGGCGACCGGACCTGAAGCGCCCCACGTGCTTCGCGCAACTCAGTCGATGCACACACTGGGCGGTGGCTCAAAAAACCGCTACCAAAATGGAGCCCTAAGTGGAAACATGGACGAAAACCTGCGTAACCACATCCATTTCGCCGTTCATAAATCAGAAGCCTCTGTCCAAATAGAAGCTCTGCATGGAAAATTCGATTTTTCTGAGGGTCTCTATGTTCTATCAGCGGGCGCGACATGATGCACCTCATCAAACTGGGAGTGTGACTGACGTTCCCCCTCGTTTGTCGCGGCCGTCACAAGTGGCAGCCACACCACCAATCTCCCGGCGCACTGTGTGGACATTCTTAAACATCGCCTGTCAAGAGTCCCGTGGTCTCTGGGGCAAGATCCATGGCACTTCGTTTGACTGGCTTAGAGGAACTCGAAACCAAAAGACACATGCCCCATGCAGAGCTCAGAATGGCCTGCTTTCGAAAGCACACTCCAAATGATCCACTCCGGAAGGTTTAAACGGGTTCCATCCAACGGGTTTAACTGCGGGGGATTTTGTCCAATGGTTGCAACACTCACTTGTCCAAAGGACCCAGCCTTTTGCCTCTAAAAATGGACCGAAAAGGGGAAACTAGGTCACATCGGTTTGATACGCTTCGGGCAGAGCCACTGGATTTCCCCAAAACAAAAGTTGATCAGTTTGCTGGTGGTGTCCATTGAAACGATGGCCACTTCTAGAGGTAACCCGAAAAAGGATGAGGCTCGGAATCCCTGCCCAAACAAGTTTCCCTTGGGCTCCCCTTTAAATGCAACCCACTTTTTGGTCGGTTTCCTCCCAAAAGAAACGGGCTGAGTAGATGGCCCAAAAAAGTCCAAACTTTATTTTTACCACTAAAACGGTCTTCCCAAAAAGTTGAAAGTTCATGAACTCAGGAAGTGAGGGTGACACCCCGAGTCTAACCCCAGAAAGAAATCCCGGCTCCGAACCCTAAAGACCCCGCCTCTGCCCAGCAAGGCCGCCGCCGCTTTGTCCACGTCCAGCGGTGACAGCCCCGCCTGCCACTGGCAGAAGGGGCGATTCTTGGCTGGGCGTGGCTCAAAAATAGGGGAACGCCCCCGCCGGAAAAAATGGCTTGGCTTTAAGGGAACCATGGGGAAGCCAGCGGGGAATCTGATCTCCAACTATGGCACCCGAAAAAGGGCGGCTGGAGAGAGAGGTAGATGATGGCTAATATGATGTGAATTAGAGCGAAGAAATGCTCATAGATTGTATAATTTTACCATGGCCTGTAACGTGCCCAGGGTTTTTGCTGGAGTCCCTCACTAAGGGCTACAAGGTGCAACTTCCAGTAGTGCGCTGTTCCGAGGAATGCACAAATGAAAGCCAGTGCGCCGCCTGCAAAGCAACCCGAGGCAAAAATGACCGTCACGATTGCTCGCTGTGGTGCCTTATCATTCTTCTTTGCCTCCGCCAATGCGACCCCTGCAAAAAACAGGCCTACGAGAGACCATCTTTGTCAGGCAACATGTCTGCGAATGCGGCCGCGAGAAATCCCAGGCTCGGTCCGTCTTTGCCCCCAACTTCTGGAAGCTGTGAGCCGCGAATGGCTTTGGAGGGCATGGCGAGACACGCGGGGCTTCTCCCTCCGCGGCCCCGTGCTACTGCCGATGGCTTCAGCTGCCAACCAAAACTTGCAGGCCGTCAAACCACCCTCCGCGAACGCACGCTGCGGTGAGTCAAGCGCCTACGCAAGGTACTCATGAACATGTGGCATGGGCAAAAAGGCGGTTGCAGGTGACCTTTCAGGGAGGAAACCTCGTTGAAAACCGTTGGCCGTGTCTTTTGTAGGGAACCTCTTCTTGGGCTTGGCTTGTAGGAAATCTAGAGGGAAACCATCCAAGTTCGGGTTCTAGTTTGAGACAACTCGTTCCATTTGCTTGAGCCCCCTGGAGGAAAACATAAACAAGTCCAGTATTGATAGAGTCCCTGTAAAACCAACAGGGGAAACTAAGAAATGATCTTAAGCATATGGCCGTGGGTCAACACCAATGGTACCATATTGGGGTAGGTGCACCACCAATTTTGGTCTATTTTAGTGGTTGGGATGTTCACTGGATTTGAATATATTTTAGGTTTTGACCCGTAGCAATATGGCTGTGGGTCAAAAATAGGTACCCCCAAATGGAACCCTGGTAAATGGAAAGGTAGACTAAAACCTGCGTAACCCCAATGTCTTTTATTTTCACCCACGGCCATATGGAAGACTGCCACAACCAAAACCGCACGCAGCGTGGTTAAACCCATGCCTTGCCATCCACCGGCACGCAGCAGGAGCCCAGTGCAGAGCTCAAGTCCAGGTCGTCCAGCGCCACACACGTCTCAGCCTGGCTGCTGAACAAACCACGCCCCATGGCCCAAATCCATACCTGGGGCCTCCAGTAGAGGCTGGAATGAGTTGGTACCCGATTTTTTTCAGTAGTCTATTTTAGTAGGGGTACTCTCCCCCCAAAAAAGGGGGAGAGAAGGGCACTATTGGGGGACCTAGATACCATTCTACACGCTGAGAACCACACTACGGTGGGTTCTTCTTTGCGGCATCGTGGTTAAAACAAACCCTGGCTTGAACCAGGAATCAATCCTTGCAAGCCCCTTTCAACTCGGGTGATGGTGCGGGATCAAAGGAGATGCGCGGATGGAGATAATGCCTGATGCATGGGCATTCAAGACCTGCTGGGTACCTGGTTGCGGCCGGCACCTGCTTGACTCACATTAAGGCAAATGAGTTTCTCCAAATTGGGACACCTATTGACAAAGACCTCTAGTTGATTTAAAAGGCTCATGAGCCCCATCAACGTGTTTGGTTGTGTGATTGCTTGGCGGTACAAAGGGGCTTCACGACGAACCCCCGCCTCATGTTCACGGAGCCACTCCAGAATCTCCTGCAAGGACACATTGACACAAAGCCAGGCCTTCCATACTTTACGAAGATTATTCGACATTCACAGAAGGTTGCCATTGGCCAGCAATTGCCAGCTCACTGGGGAAGCTCGAGTTGTTCAACCATTGGGATTACACCCTTGGGGCATGACCCAGAATGCAAAATAACACGGTTTTATCCGGAATGTGCCTAAATGGGGTCAATACCCAGTGGGTCTATTCCCAGGGTGTAACACAAAAAATAGATCTCGGACTGTTCTCACCTGTAATTAACCACTAACATGTGTATTCAATGCGCATACTTGTTGCGCCGCGCCATCGCACGGTCACTGCAAGTCGTGCCCCCCTAGCCCACAAAGGTCCCTTGCTTGTAGCTGTTTGAGGGTCTATCGACGTAGCTGCAGGTCTTAGAAGCTCGCCACAGTCTGCCTGCCCAGGAGGGCTCTTCAAGAGCCTGCCGCGAACCAACACGAATATCGTTGGCTTGTCATATCTGGGCTGCCCGTTTTCAGATCCCCGACTGACTTTTAGTGGGTTAACTGGAAACTACCACTAAACACTAAAAGGCTAAAAAGCTAAGGAACCAGATGGCTGGGAGCCAGCAAGATATGAGGGCACCCTACCCATTGTTAGAGGAAACTGTGCACATTGCCAGCGTCAATTGGTCCGACGTTGAGAGTGCTCGAGCATTACACGCCCAGCAGCGACAATGTAGCCCCTTGGTTTTAACGTCTTGTGGGTCCGCTGGAAAATCCTCTGTTTCCGAAAAAAAAGAAGAAGTTCAAAGATCAAAGCAAATAGAGATGGTGGGGCCAACCACGTATGTATTTGTCCGCTTTCCGAAAGAAGCCAGGCCGCTTTTTTTTTCCTCTTCTTTTTCTCCCGTCTCCGGGATCAAGCCGAGTGCTTCCAGCAAGTTGTGGGCAATGGCCTGCACCACTGGTGGGCACACGGCATTTCCAAGCTGATGGTAGGCTCGATTCTCGCTGTGCCTCGCAGGTTGAAGCTCTGCTTTCTCCCTTTTCAGTTTTTGCACCCCCAAAGTGAGGCAGAATCGGAGGTTTGCAGCATTCGTCGATGCTTGGGCCATGACAAGGCGTTTGCTGAAAGAAATATCCTTTCATCCTCTACTTCCACGCTTTAAATACATGTCCTTTGCAGTGTGACGTTCGGCAAATGCCTTCTGCTCTGCTTTCACCTGCCTGCAGTCAACTTGTTTCCTGGACGGGTCAGTTTGTCACTGTGTTTGGAGCCGTATCATTGGTACTGGGCGAGTTACAATACTCACCCAAAAAGGAACCTTCATGGAGGTTGCAAGCACCTTCTGCCTCGAACAATTGAGCGGCGGCCTTTGTCTTTGTCAGCTATGTACTTTGGTGCCAGCCGAAGTTGAGCAGCGACCAAAACCCGTTGACGTTGGCCTCTGACATGCTTAGTACAAGTTTTTTACAGGGACTACTATAATCCCTTTCCACCAAATAGTAAAGCCACCTAGTAAAATTACCGCTGAACAGGCGATGGGTGCCGCTCAACTGCCCAGAAGGCATGTGGCCATGGGTCAAGATCCAAATCGTATTTGCAGTGAACATCGTAATCCTCCCTAAAATAGGTTCTAAAATGGGTGGTGAATTCACCTACCCCAAAATGGGATCCCAAAATGGTTTTGACCACCACGGCCTCGCTTGCTGAGTGGATTGAACTTTTTATCTACCACCAAAATGGTCCAAACTAAAAAAAAGTTCATGAACTCAAGAAGTGAGCCAGCCATGCAAAGGCTTCAGCCAGTTTGGCGAGCCGCCGGTTAGCAAAGACGTGCTCCTCGGGGAAGCCCATGAGCCGTGCGGCTTCGCGGCGCGTGAAGAACCGGGGCCGACCTCCCGCCGATGGAGCGACCAGCTCCGCGGTGCAGGCGTAAGAGGCCTGCAGGTGTTTTGTTGCAGACCAAGAACTTTTTTCGGTCAGAGCCAGTGCTTCTCTCCAATATCAAAAAAACATGAAACACTGTGGAAACCTATAACAATTTCTGTGATACCCAAGTGGCGAACTCCCATGATCATAGCCGATGTACTAACTTTTGTCACTTTAAAGAGGGCGGATTCCATTGGCATCGCCGCAAGTGGCGAACATGATCCCCCGCCCATGGGGCACCGACTCTATGCTCAAACATTTCAACCCCACTCCATGTCTTCACCCAAGAAACCACCGTCTTTAGCCGAACCCTCCTTTTGAAGCCACCCCCTTTCCCAATTTCCAGATTTTCGTCTGCAGAGTAATCGACTAACCCAGAACCCAGCCCCCCCTTCCATCACCCGCCGATCCCCGCCGATCCGGGCGCCGAGTTTGGGGCGCCGAGTCGGGCCTTGTAGCTGGCGGTGAGCGTCCGCGCCTTCCCCTGGAGCTGTGCAAAGCGCAGCTCCTGGCCCCCGCTCAGCCAGGTGGAGCTCTTCCTGAGACAGAAGCCCCCTAAGAGGGCCATGGGCTAATACGGCCTTTTGGAAAAAGAATAAACCCCATCTAAACCAGGGCCCTCTATGTTTTAAGCAAGCCAACCAAAATGGATGTTTTTTTAGGTTGGACCTCCCAGAAACGGCCTTGGTGCTCCTTTTGGCTCCCCGTTAAAGCCGGCAACAAAGGGGTAGACGTGCCCTGTGGAGGGATGGAGAAATGGAGGGCAACCAATTTTTTGACTCCCCCGTTTGTCGCTTAGATTTTTTTGATTTGTACGCGCTCACTTCTCCCATCAACAACCATGGAAATGCTACGCGCAAGTCACTGCAGTACAGAACCTATAGGACCGAACGCTGGTCAATCTGTGGTGAGACTACCGCATGGGGTGACCACTGAACATGGGCCAAGACAGGCCACATCTCATTCCTTCACCCCTGTGCCGTCCCCAACATTTTACCGTGGAGCTACGTAAAAAAATAAAATAAAATAAATGGCATTGCATGTGGGGGTGGATTTCAAGGACCATGTCGCGAGTAACTAGGTGAGCGTCTCTACTAACCTCATGATTTATCACCAGTGTCAAAGTCACCCACAATTGCTACTTAGACGGCCAACAGCCACCGGTTTTCCACTTGCATAACCCCTAGAAACAGTGACACTCATGGGTTTGGTCGAATACATGCATTACCGTATGCAACGCAGGTATGGTTATGTATGTGCATATAGAACGATACATACATAATATAATATATATATATATGTATTATATGCAAGCCATTTTTGCGGGGACCCCCTTTTTAAAGGGACACCAAAAGACAACCACGCATTCTGATACGTGGGTCCCCTAGTTTTCAATCACATCCGTACGTACTCAAGATCATGGTCCCCCCCAAATGAACCGACTCCAACGTTCAAACAAACCCCTTCAAGAAAAGGCATGATTCCGGGGCGCAACACCCAACATGTATACACCGGCCCCATTATTTTACCACTATCAAATAGTCAACTTATGTCAACTTTTAAAGTGATGGGCTCAAGAGAAATCACGGTGTCTGACTTTGACAACTAGAAACAGTCAAAATCAGGACCAGAGATCCACCCAGGTGGAATTCGCCCCATGTCAAGCTGCTGCACCTGAGCCCATTGCGTCTCTGTGAGCTCGCAGCGCCGCGGCGAATCGCTGCCGGAATCCTCCAGCACGTCCTGGGTAAATAAGCGACTTCTGGTCAAATGGAAAAGGACACCAACGAGTCATACCGGATGTGTCCAGTGGCTTTGTTTGCTTGTCCCTTTTGTTTTGTGCTGTTTTGTGGTGTTCTTGCCTGCCTATTGCGACCTTCTTTGAGCACCCTGTGGGAACCATAGCAGGACGGCTCCATTGCCGGTGCAAGCTTTTGAGCCGGGTCAGCATGATGCTCCATTTCCCGGATCCTGTTCACAAGCAACGCTTTCCAGCGCAAGTACCAAAGGCCTCAACCCGGAATTTGGCCTCATGATGCATCTGGTGTCTGGGCCCTGAATTGTTTTTTTTATCCGGCTTGGCTGCTAACTTCTCCCCCTGTGTGTCTCAAAATGAGAGGACCCCCCCAACCTAGGCTGGAATCGGGACCCCAGCAGAAAGTTATCTTTTTTGCCTGGTTGGTGGAAAACAAAGGGACCCCCAAAAAATCGCAAAAAAGCAAAAAGGGGGGCTAATTCTGGGGAAGCGCCATGGTTGGCTCGCGTGCCGCGTGCGTTTTCTTCCAAGCCAGCCTGGACGCAGCGGTTCGCGTGCTTGGGCGGCGCCGGCCACTGGAATCGTTGGGCCGCCGAGGCGTCACGAAAGCCCACGAGGTACACGCGGTCCCTGCGCTGGGGGACCCAGCCTGGCGCCGTTGGCTGTGGGACTTGGCGTGGTGAAAAGGGGATGGCTGAGGCTCACTTGCTGAGTGGATGGCCCAAAAAAGTAACCAAGCTTTTTATGTACCACTAAAATAGGCCTCCCAAAAAGTTTAAAGTTTTTGAACTGAGGAAGTGAGGGTTTGATGGTTCTCAGCGAACCCGGGAGAAAACCCCTAAAAATCATCCTTATGGTTTCCTGTCAGGGAATCCCCTTCCGGCTCATTCCCAAAATGCCTGGGTCATTCCCTGAGCACCCGCAAGGTGGTTCGAAACTTCGGTGTGTGTTTCAGTGTCCTCAAAATCAGGGCACCCTTTTCCATGCTGAGAAGGGATGCTGAATTTCAAGTCATCGGGCCCTTCGGTGCGCATCAAATATCTCTGGTTACCTATCATCATCGGGTGACCTACGAGGCGGGCCCAAAGGGGCCTCTCTCCAAATATCTCAACGGCAAGAAAGTTGCCTGAGCACGACTTGAGAACATGGAGGAACCTGTCGTCAAGGGGAAAACGTGGGAGAAACAAACAGGCAGACTAACGTGGAAGCTCCCACAAGGCCTCTGCAAATGGAACCAAGTCTTCCCAAAGGGGTCCGTTCGGGAGCTTCCATGGAATCGCCTTGGGGGAGGGTAGTCCTTGATCTGCGCCCCAAATCACCGACTTGGCGAGAGAATGCCACATGCAACTGCCGGAGACGCGCCTTCCGAGTTGATTTGCTTGCTGCGGACCTCATAGCCAGCCTCCTGGCTTGGTCAAAACAGGTCGATCTTCTCTTACTTTAGAACAAATCGCGAAGCCCAGAAAGTTTCTACAAACAAAGACCCAAGGGGAGCTTTGGGCAACCCTCCGCTCGCTGAGCCTTTAAGCTGAATACCATAAGCCAGGCACCACCGTCTTTTTTACGGTGACCGGAGTCAACAGTAGCTAGCCGTTCTGTTGAGACTTGGGGTGTGGATGGGACAAGCACAGCACACTGCGATCCATCCAAACCTTGGTGAACCAACCTTGAGGCCCAAGACAGGCTATACACCGGGCATTGGCTTGGAGGGAGCTGGTGTTTGCCTTGGTGGCAACAAGCATCACTTCTGCAACGCACAACAACTCTCATGAGTTCGAAGCCTGGCACAAGTGGCCGAGCGGAGTGGCGCACATCTATGGAGGTTGCCTGGAAGCCTGGGTGAGGCAACTTTGCTCCGGCATGGAACTCCCAGATGCAAAGCCAGAAGCCATGCAAAAAAGGGTTACCTGCTATAGACTATAGTCTCACTTGCTGGGTGGATGGCCCAAAAAAAAGCTCAAACTTTATATGTACCACTAAAATGGTCTTCCCAAAAAGTTTAAAGTTCATGAACTCAGGAAGTGAGTTAGCGGATTGAAACCAGAAGCAGCTCCAGCCCTGTGCAAAATGATTTGGCCCCGGCAGGGCTTCCGCTGCGTGTGATGGGGGGTGGGGGTCCCAGACCCGCGGTTTGGTCGACCTCCAAAGACGCCACCACCTTCTTGTAGACCGCCCCAAAGGTGCAGCGCTCAGGTACCGGGTCCCAGCACCCGCCGTCCAGGAACTGCATGTTCCACACCTCTGCTCATAGGCCTTTTGGGAAAATAGATGGGTTGCCCTGGTAAATGGAATAAACCCCCATCTAAACCAGGGCCCTCTATTTTTCAAGCAAACCACCTGAAAGGACACCTATGATACCTCTGCTTTTTTGTTGAGGATCGCCTTGGTTTGAGGTTTGAAGGGCGACTCAGGTCCTGAGTGGATTGCCCAAACACAGGCTGGACTTTTTACTTACCACTAAAATGGTCCAAGCCCAAAAAGAACCTGGGTTGCTTTCTGCTTCTCTTGCTAAGAGTTTAACCTTTAGTGGGATTAATACGCAAAACCCATTAGTTGGCAAAAAGATGTTCTGTCCTAACACCCCTTGGCAAAATGCACCAAAGGAACCAAGTCCAAGAACTCAGGAAGTGAGGACACCAAAGGAAACCGCTCATTTCTGGGGATCGCGGGGCTCTGGACAGCTTGGCGCCAATCCAAGGACCTACCGGGAACGTCACCGGATATGGAGGGCTACGTTGAAACATCCCCCACTCCAGAAACATCCCCTACTCAGAACACATTCCCGACCAACCATCTAACTTAAGAAACCCCACTCGGAGCCAACAAACAAGGGTGCCAGTACTTCAAGGGCGGGGCAATGCGAGCGGATGCGCAGGATCAGAGGGAAACGTGTTTTCGCCATGCTTCGTGGCTGGTTGACTACTGCCAAGGGAGCCCACAGCACAGCAAACATTTTCTGATCACAAAGGGATTGCTAATTACCTTTGCCGGGCCCTGAGATCGCTGGCAGGATCAACAGCCTTGTTGGTACTGGTACCTCGGGTTGACAGACCCAGTTTCGACGGAGCCAAGTCCATGTTAAGGAGGCCCGGTAGATGGTCAATTCAAAGAGCCGAAACAAATGTCCCACTTGCTTCTCTGGAACAACACAAAGCGCCCTTGACAAGCTGCAACAGGTTTCCACTTCTTTGCATAAGCATAAATCATTAAAGAGCAAATGACGAAAAGCAACCACCCTTCGCGTAGGAATCCTTTGACTCGCAACAAACACCTGACTTCTCAGAATTGGTGGGCCACGTTCGTCAATTGGTCACGGCACACCGCACACCTGCAGGTTCAATGAAACCGGAAGTATCTTTACATAACCAGTATAATATACCAATCCCAAGATACCAACGCAACACGCAAACACTTCACACATCTTCACACCTTCGAACGGGTCCAAACCCAGCTTAAAACGCACTAACACAGCCATAGTACTGTAGATACTAGGGAAATGCCATCATGTAAAATCTAGAGGTAAGGACCCCGAAGGCTTTCATACGTGGCGGAAGGAAGCACCTCGAGGTACACTTTCTCAGACTACCCGCCGGAAGCTCCCCCAAATTGGCAACTCAATGGAACCAAGTCTTAAGAGCTTCCATGGAATCGCCAGGGGGTAAGGAACGGACCCTTGGGGTCAGAAAGTTTCGCAGTTCAAGGGGCATTCTCCAGCAGGAAGGCCCTGGGCTGTCGCTGGTGCAATGCCCGGAGGATCTCGAAGAAGAGCTCCCCCCGCGCGTCCTCGAAGCCCAAGCGTTGGCCGCGCCCTGCCGAAATCGGCGGCTTCAGCCGCTGCCATGGGACGTGGATTCTGATGGGAGGGATTGACATTTTGTCCCAGGGCTGGTTTTTTTCTCCCCAAAAAGGAGAACCCCTGACCTTAAGTCGATCTGTATACAAAAAGTGGAACTCTGCAGGAAAGAACGTCATGCGATATCGAAGTGGGCCGGCCGGTGATACCCGGTGGGATTCGAATTCCCCATTGGCTAGAAATCTCAAATCACAAACAAGTCGTAAACCAATGCAAGGAGATGGCTGCGGTCAAAGCCGACAGCATGGAAGCCCCTGAGCTGATGCACCGAGCGGCAGCAAACCTTCAGATTGCAAGTTTTATATGTTGCGCTTCTAAAACGAAAAAGCCAAAGGATTGGGACATGGAGCGGAACAAAAATGGGGGTCGAACATTACCCTTAAAACCAAAACAACACCATGATCTAGCTTGAGGACAGGCCGTCCAACCTCCCCAATGGAAGCCAGGCTGCGTGAGGTATTCGCATTGATCACGAGAAAGAAGTGCGGATGCTCGCATGTGAGCGCGGAACATTGAGCGAGGGAGACACAGAAAGAAAGAAAGAAAGAAAGAAAGAAAGAAAGAAAGAAAGAAAGAAAGAAAGAACGAACAAACGAACAAACAAATATATCAAAAGAGGAAAACGAAAAAAAAAAAAAAAAAAAAAAAAAAAACTGCGAAACCCTCGGTGTTTGATGTTTTGAGCACCCATCTCCTGAAGTTCCACCGGAAGCATGCTTTCCCCCAACCCAAACCTCGTGGGCCCCGGCCGAAGGTTGCTGGGGCCTCCGGCGGGCGAAGGGCTGGCAGGGGAAGCCCGCGGTGAGCAGCTCGTGGCGCGGGAAATCCTCCACGCAGGTGAGGTCCCCATAGAGCTCCGAGCTCCCGAAGTTGGCCGCGTAGGCCTCCTGACCAGAGCCATGGGTCAAAAACCCAAATCCAAATCGTAGCCAAATCCAGTGAACATCAACCAATCCAACCACTGAAATCGGTTCTAAAATGGGTGGTGCACCTACAATAGGTTCTAAAATGGGTGGTGAATTTGCCTACCCCAAAATGCTAGCATTGGTTTTGACCCACAGCCAAATGGATCTGGGAATTTTCATTGACCCTTTGGTGGATCCTGCGCGGCAGCTTTCCAATTGGGTGTGAGTCTCACTTGGGGAAAATCTTTGGTGGACATCATTTAGGTTGAGATTCATGTCCACCAACCACTTTGGACGTGGTTCCCTACTGAATTTCATGGCCAAACGGAGTAAAGGCCTTCCTACACTGGAAATATTGGGGGGTGTCTCTAACAAAACCCCACGCCTTCCAACCAAATTGGTTGGGTCCGATGTCCAAACTCGCAAGCACCGAAAGCCCAGGGCCCAGTGGATCCATTTGCCCAGCGAAATCGAGTTAAGGGAACCCAACCCAAGCCGCCCCCCGTGACGGTCAAAAAAATTGCGACCGTGGCGACCCTTTCACCCACCCAATTCCCTGCCACTTCATGTCCAATCCAAATTCCCAACATGTGACTCAAAACCCAAACCTCGAAACCTCGAAATCTCGAAACCTCGAAACCCCCACCACCCCCACCAACCCACCGCAGGACGCTCCAAATTTCGCGCCCGGCCGGGAAAAAAAACCATGGGCCTCCACGCGCCTGGCAGTCCACGTCCAGCTCCGCCGCGAAGACGCAGCGCCCCCCCAGCGGCGCCAGGGCCCGGCGGAAGCCCCCGACCCCCGCAAAGAGCTCCACGAAGCGGAACGCCGCCGCTGGAAGCTGCGGCGAGAGGAGTTCGGAAGTCGAGGTGGGAATCACCTCAATTCCTCCATTTGCTGAAATGAAGAAAAAAATGTTTCTATTTCCCTGGGTGTTAAGAGGAACTCATCACTACTGATATATGTTTATTTTTGCCTGGGGCCTTAACCAAATGGAAGACAACATGTTATGCTAGTACCCTCTATATATAACCTCTCCATGTCATGGTATTTACCATGGGCATTCGATGTCATGGTGAGATCATCTACAAAAGCTTCATGGGTTTCAGTCTCCCTTCATTCGGACAAACCAGGCAGGTCGAAATGACTAGTTCAACAGACAGCAAGGCATGCGCCCGGGCAATGTGTGACGACAGCGTGTGGCAAAACAGTCCAGAGTCCAGCGGCAATCACCCCTCTCCCCACCCCCGTGTTTTTTTGTTGTTCATGTACAACATGTCGAGGACTCCCTTAGTGAATCACCGACCCCACCCTTTTCCCTTGTTCTCATGAAAAAACGGACCATCAGGCCCCATCCACGCCCCCAAAGATAAACCTAAGCCTCAAGCAAGCCTTGAGCCTCTTCAAGGCCAGCTTTCGGAAAACCCAAGAAGAAAAGGCAGGCCCAGGGCTATTTGAGCTGTTGTCGACTCCCTAACTTGGGTTGCAGGCATCGACCAACATGGTTCAAGATGGGAGAGAGCACTTGGTCCAGGCACCCCGGGAGAGGCAACTTAGAGGCTCGTAAGTGGCCTGCAACATACATTCTCAAACATAGTCTCAACATTTGGCGACCCTGTGCTTGGCTGGTTTGCAGGCTGTCCTACAGGCACCCAAAGCAGGCTCTTTCCCCTCCCCTCCCCCTACCCACCAATGACCAAGCAAAAAAAAAGGAAGCAAAAACAACAAACAAAAGAACACCAACGACCATGTTGCATCTCCGGAAATTCTTTCCGAGTCGCTGCGGCTTCGCTTTTGGGCGTGCTTGAGCCCCGGTAGGGCTGCGCACCGAGCCGCAGCCCCGGGAGGAACTGGATCTCCGCCTCCTCGAGGAACTTGGCCAAGGCTTCGGGCACTTGTCCCCAGCAGAAGGCGGTGGCGCCTTCCAGCGAAAGCTTCGGAAGACATAGCGACACGACATGGACTCACTTCACGAGTGGATTGGCCAAAAGAAATCACCAAACTTTGAATTGACAACGAACGAGTCTTTCGAAACAGTTAAAGTCCAGGAACTCAGGAAGTGAGTGGCACTGGCGGAAGTGGCTAGAATGGGTGTAGCCCTTCTGGCTGAACAAACAACTTGGCATTTCTGATTTGCTGTTCTCGAGGTGCAAGGGTCGCAGTTGGCCAAATGCCAACTCGCAGTTCAAACGGTCGAAACGCAAATACTCGAAAGGGCAGCCAAAGGTATGGCTGAAATGCAAGGGGAAGCTCATCTCACCTCTGGGTCCGTCAGACTCGCCCTAGAAGTCCTCCACGCCCCTCCCCAAACGGAGCGCAGACATTCGGCACAGGCTCCGGCCTTCGATGGTCAAGTGCACCGCCTGCCATACCCGTCAGGGAAACCAAAGGGTTCAAAAGTCATCGCCCCTCACCCATGCCAAGCCGGCAGAACCCACCCATCTCCAGCATGACCTGACTTGAGTGGCAAGCTCGACCCGCTCGAATAAAAGAAATAAATACAACGATTATGATAAATGCACGGGGCGAAACCAATAAAACACACACACACACACACCAAACCAAAAGTACAAAGCAAGCAAGCAAGCAAGCAAGCAAGCAAGCAAGCAAGCAAGCAAGCAAGCAAGCAAGCAAGCAAGCAAGCAAGCAAGCAAGCAAGCAAGCAAGCAAGCAAGCAAGCAAGCAAGCAAGCCAGCAAGCCAGCAAGCCAGCAAGCCAGCAAGCCAGCAAGCCAGCAAGCCAGCAAGCCAGCAAGCCAGCAAGCCAGCAAGCCAGCAAGCCAGCAAGCCAGCAAGCCAGCAAGCCAGCAAGCCAGCCAGCCAGCCAGCCAGCCAGCAAGCCAGCAAGCCAGCAAGCCAGCAAACAAGCCAGCAAACAAGCCAGCAAACAAGCCAGCAAGCCAGCAAGCCAGCAAGCCAGCAAGCCAGCAAGCCAGCAAGCCAGCAAGCCAGCAAGCCAGCAAGCCAGCAAGCCAGCAAGCCAGCAAGCCAGCAAGCCAGCAAGCCAGCAAGCCAGCCAGCCAGCCAGCCAGCCAGCCAGCCAGCAAGCCAGCAAGCCAGCAAGCCAGCAAGCCAGCAAGCCAGCAAGCCAGCAAGCCAGCAAGCCAGCGAGCCAGCGAGCCAGGGAGCCAGGGAGCCAGCGAGCCAGCAAGCCAGCGAGCCAGCCAGTTAGCCAGCCAGCAACCCAGCAAGACAGCCAGCCAGCCTCCCACCCAGCGAGCAAGCAAGCAAGCATGCACCGAGGTGGCAGGAAGGCGGGCGGCTGGCGGGCGGGCATTGGGCAAGAACAAAACGCAAGCAAGAAGCAAACTGGAAACACTCAAACAAGCGAGCAAACTACCACAAACAAAGCAATCGAACAAGCAAGCTCTTCGACAAGCTAGCTGGCTGAAACATGCAAGCATGCAGCCACACAACACAAACCAACCACCAGAAGATTCGCAAACTCTGGCGCAGCCCGGTACAAAACAAACATTAATTCAGCTTGCACATCAATAAACATATCCCATGGCCGTCCTTCTTGCCCTGGTGATCACGCACCCCCTTAGGCCGCGCAAACCGCAGCGGCCCCAACAAGGCGAAGAGTTTCGGCAGCTGCGGGGCGTCGCACAGCAAGGCGCCCACAGGGCCTGAGATTCAAGTGAAGCACGCTGGTGGGGGGTCACCCAACCCACCCACGCGGTCGCACGCAAAGAATAAAATAGGAGCGTCAACCTATATTCTGAGGCAGCGCAACTTTAGCGCACTGCGGAGCTCTTTCAGCACAGCTCCAACCAAAAAAAGGTGGAGCTGTGCAAGTGCAGGCTGCTCCTTTTGCAGCCTGCCAAACCACTTCCTCTTACATGTCATGATCATCGATGACCATCATACTTCCGTGGTCTTATCGAATCATTATCAAAACCTGATACCCAGAACCATGCAAAGACTCGAAAAGTCGGTCGCACCGAATTCCGGTTGCGATTGTCCCCTACCCTCCAACTATCCTGGATCTGAGTGCCACTGTGCCTCAAAATAACTGCCCTCGGATCCCGCGCTAAAAGTGACTAACTTTTAGTGGGTAAATGGAAACTACCACTAAACACAAAAAGGATCTAAAAAGCTAAGGAACCGGATGGCTGGCTTCGCCAGCAAGATGAGGGGACCCCCAAAACGGCAACCTGCTGGCAACCAAGCCGCATCCCTTCCGTGGCGCCCATGGCACGGACTCAGTCCGCGGTCTCTTGGCGGCGCCATCAGCCATGGCATCCAAGCCCCCGGTGACCCTGGGCTCTTAGCCCAATCAAATTTTCCCCAACCGCTATAAGACATCCCGAGGCAAACTTCACAAGGAGCCCGTCTGCAAACAAGCAATAATCAGTGCATGTGTGTTTGCACGGTGTGCACTTTATGTGTGTTGCACTTCTTGGCGTTCATGCTTGCTGTCACTTCTTCCACTCTTGCATGTTTTATGCTTCTCTTGTCTGCTAGCGCAAGCAACCCTTTGGGGGTGATTTTAAGTGGGGAAGTCAAGGAAAAAGGTGTGCCACTCAACGACTGGGGAAGTACAAGCATCACACTGAAATCTTAGAAGCCGGAGACAAAGGTGACTCTGTTGTCAACAACAGTCAGGTTGGTGGCGACATGTGACAAGCCGTGGCTTCAGACAATGCAATTGTAACAACGCTTGCGTCCAAATAAAAGCTTTCGCTACACGCACAAGAGTCCTGGGCACCAATATTCTTCATATGCACCCGCCGAAATGGGCTAGCCTTGATCCTTAGGCAGTGCAACGCTCAAACCAATGTGGTGGTGCAATTAGATAGTCTCGAGCGAGGCTCATCAGCCAAGGCTTCAGCAACGGCTGACTCGCGTTGGTCTGAGCACCAGCTGCAGAATATCATGCACTATGGTGACCTGAACTGAATGGAGCAGGCACGCGCAGGCTTGAACTTATCCTCTGGCATGGAATCTGCGAGGGGCATGGGCCTGCCAGTCCCATGTGAGCATTTGCGTGTGCTCCCTTCCAAATTGCTTGCTTCCGCAAAGGTTCCGTACACGCACTTCCACGATTGTTGGCGCACAAAGCACTGTGGCAAAAGCAAAAGCACTTCCGAACTTCAGCCCTTGTCTTTTTGTGTGTTCGCAACTACTCAGCCATGGGCCTTCATCTGACAATCCGGGTGCCTGGAAACCAGCGCACGTGCTTCATGTTGTGCCTGTGTGCATCGCGCCTGCAAACACGAGGCCTTCCTTGTGGTTTTTGAGCCTAAGGGCCCTCAAAGCCATGCCATCCCAGGAAGTTGCTCCGCAAGCACCTTGCGGGAACTCACCATGACCATTTAACACTCTGACTTGCGAAAGGCGTTGAGGCTGCTTTGCGGAATTTTGATCATTTCCATGAGAACTTCTTGGAGCTGGATTCTTAGATGGGAATGTGTCACAAAAGGTATCCCGAAGAAAATGCAAGCTTGCCTTTTGGCTTCCCTTTTACCCTAATAACAGTACCCTCAAAAAACCAGACCCAGCAACTCCTAGCTTCCCAACCCCCCAGCCCCCCTAAGGCCCCCCCTTCCACCCTCTCCTCCGCTCGTGAGGCAGGGCCCAAGGACGAGTCCCGGCGTGTGGTGTCCAAAAGCTCCAACTCCACCCGGCGCAGCTGGCGCCGGACCTCCTCTCAGGGCCATACAAAGCCGGGCGTTCGGTATGTCGGTATGGTGCTCGGTTTGATGCTGATATCTGAAATATGGGGAAAATTGGTATGCTACCTCTGCGCCTGGCAGTTGGATGCTTATATTCTTAAGTATGGAAACTTTGTTGCTACCTGCGCCTGGACAAGGCCCAGAGCGCCGCTGCAAAGGTATGCCTCCACCGCCCAATGGCTTTTCTATTCAGCTACTCTATTTGTATGCTTGGTGGTCGAAAGGATGACTAAATCATTGGCTGCCAGGGATTCTGGCTAGTTTGGCTTTTCATCGCTTCCAGTGCTTCCTCCCGGCGTTTTGCAAGCTAATATACGAAACCCTTCGGCATGAATCGCTATCAGGTTTTACACCATGGTTGGAAACCCCTGGTTACCCACTATAGTGGCTTGCCGCAAGGAAGCACGATAGGAAATCATCACCCATCGCCTGAATTGCAACGGCCCCCTTATGGCTCAGAATCAGTATGTGAGCTGCCGTACACCCATAGGCACTTTAGCTATTAGCTGCCTACATGTGCCTAAATTCAATTCACTGAACATATCCAGTGAGCAAATATCACATGAGTCACAATCAACACCTGGTACAAAAATGGTGAACCCAGAACCATGCTTCAAGAATTAGAAAGCCGGATATCCGCAACTATTTCCAGCGACTGCCCCTTACTAACCTTCGTCTTCCCAAGCTTTGAGCACGTGACTCACATGGAGCCTCGGAAATGTGAAGTCCAATTTGCCAGGCTAAACGAAACCGGGACCTTCGTGGCAAGCTCATAGAAAAAAGATCGATCGGGAAAGCGCGTCATTTGCCCAGTGTTTCCAGGCGATAGTAGGTAACCAGGGGGAAAAAAAAGAGGTTCCCTACTATTGTGGCTTAAGGAAACAACAACAACAAAAAACAGGTTCCCTACCAGTTTGGCTTGATTGGAAGCACTGAGCTAGAACTGCTCTACAGTGACCCCAACAATCACTGACAGTCACTGTGCACTAGCGTCGAAAATGACGGACCCGCATGTGAGTCATAATCAAAACCCGGTGCAAAAACAGTGCACCCAGAACCATGTAAAGAAGTAAGAAGCCGGATATCCGCAGCTATTTATGGTTGGGATCGTCCCTTACTAACCTTCATCTACCCAGGTTTTGAGCACGTGGCTCATGTGATTTCAGTACACGCCTTGTAAAGGTGTCCTTCCCACGCTCCTCAAGGCTCTGGGGATCCAAGCGCCAGGAAGACGACAGCACTATCCTCAGCTTCCTTCTAAGAGGTTTGGAGCCGAATCGGTGGTTTGGAGTGGTGAAATGGAGGGGTAAACCCCATTTACCCTCTAGACCCAGGGGTTCAAATCCAAATTCCAAACCACCAACTAGAGGGAAGCTGATCAGTGCTGGGAAGTTGGGTTCAAATAAAACACCGTTGCTCAATGAAAGGAACACGTTGGTGGTGCTTGAACAATTTAGCTTTGGAAGTGTGGCTGCAACCTTGTTTTTCGAAGGGAAGCTGCCAAACGAGGCTCGTTGTATGAGTAAGGCCGTGACACGCCAAGGCCACACAAAACGGGGGCCGAGCTGCTAAGCAATTGTAGCCATGTTCATCAAACAGTGCGCAGCTTTCGACTGCCAAACAAACCAAACTGAGAAGACTCAACACTTGTTTTTCCATTGCCTCATATTCATACTGCCTCACATCGGCATACTGCCTCACAATACATAGTGCGTGTAGAGGATATGCCAGTCTGGCTTTCTTGCGTAGCCGCTGAGAAGCATTCGGATGAATCATTCCTGTTTTGTTTCCTGAGGGGAAAGGCCAGAACTCGCGCGGCCGAGCGTCTGAGCACCAGTGCGGGCCACCAGGTCAGCAAGATGCTCCAGGCAGGGTCGAAGAAAAAGGCTGTCCTGGCAGTGGAACCGAGGATCCAGGCGAGCGCATGATTGAATGTGTCAAAACTAGGAGGGCCCTCCCCAATTTTGACACGCAGCCATCTGTTCGGCCCGAAGTAAAGACCCGAAAGCAACACCTGAGTGATGATTCGTCCAACATCGCTGCATTTCAACGAAACTTCCAGGAATGAATCGGTTGAAGCTGTGCCCATAGGTGGCCTTTTGCAAAAATAGATGGGTTTCCCTGGTAAATGGAAATTCACCCCCATCTAAACCAGGGCAAACCAACCAAAAAGGACCCATTGAAGCTGTGCCGCTGGGAACTCGAGAACTGAAGAAGTTTCGAGCTGAGCCTCGGACTTGCATCGCCGCCGTGCCACCAGGAGGATCGTCAGCTGCATGCAGCACCTAAAAGGGGCGCGCCGAAGCAGAACCTAGGTCCTCCAGTTTTGCGAGGTTAGAATAAGTTTTTTCCCTGCGCTCTAAGTAAGTTGGTACCAACTGTTTTCTGTAGTCTACTTTAGTAGGGGAACCCTCCCAACTCGAAAAGGGGTGAGAAAGGGCACTACTGGGGAACCTAGGAACTGGTGCGCATCACTTTTTGCTGCACTGTGCCCCAGGTCTTTCCGGCAAAGCTGTCAGTGGCCATGACGCCAGGTATGAAACCCCTTCCGCCTTCCCCCAGAACTGCGAGTAAAATGGGCTGCTGCTGGGCCTCGACATGGCCATGAAGGCCATGGAAAGCGGTAGCTCTCAAAGAAAACTGGATACCCGTGAATGGGCTGAGGGGAGAGATGGGTGGGGAAAAAACAAAACACTTGCCTCCCTTGGATTGACAAGAGTTACTAGCCAGCAACTGGAAAACCGAGTCTGCGCGTTCCAGGCGACACTCATCACAGTTGCTGTCAGATGATCTTCTCAGGGGCGTTAATTGAAGCGAACTTACAGGCGTGCTAAGTTGCCCGAATTGGAACCTCTTCAGCTAAGCTACTTCAGTGTTGCCAATAACGCGTCTTGTACATGTTTTGATTCATGCTCACCTCGTCGCTGTGGTATTTTGCACGCAGCACTGACCACAGTGCCAGAGAGTGGCTTCGGTGACTGCACAGCAAACGTTGGACAGTGCTTTCCATGGTCATTTGTGTATGGGCAAAGCCTCGCAGCTAGCCTTATTGAGCACCCCTCATGGGAAAAAAGTGCGGACTTCTGCTTTGAGGAAAACTTTCGATTTTGAGTCCTGCCTTCATCACCTCCCTTTCACCCTGACTACCGGGGCACCCCATCCACGTCCAGGAAGATGATGCGGGCCATGCGCGCGGACGAGCTGTGAACACCCTTGCCAACTCATAAGCCTAGAAATGGGAGAATGCCTGTTGCAACCTTTCTACAGGGACGCCTGGGCATGGCATCCTTGTGAGGATTCTTTTGTATAGTCGACTTGAAGCAAAGACTGAGGGACGAGCATAGAGCATGCCAACCAACTCAAACCAATCTGCAAGTTGAAGCTTTCAGGTCTGCTGGACTCGGAAATGCAACTGCCATGGTAGTTCGTAAGTGATTTGCTGTACCTGGAGCCGCCATCAACTTCCCTGTGGATCCCTTGGTACTGCCATCAGGTTGGTGCTCAAGTGAATGCAACATGCGGCAACCGTAAGTATCGCATGTGGGGCACACATGTCTGTGGAAATCACCACATTTTGTGGGGTGTCCCTGGTCAACGTCCAACAATTCCGGCAAGCCAAAGTACTCTGATTGCACATTGCCAACGTCTCCATTGCCATGTCTCGTGGCGCTTACCCTCGGCCGAGGGCCTCGCGCAAGGTGCGCGCCTTTTATGTTGCTCTTTTCAAGCATTAGGCAAAAGAAACGCGAACTTTTTCCAAGCATTAGGCTTCTCCTTTCGGCCAAATGGACAACATGGCAAAAGAAAGTCAACACGCAACTCTGACCTTTGCAACGAAAGGGAGAACCAAAGAACTCGCCCGGGCACCTTATGGGCCTGTGTCAAAGGGGTTGACCCACCATGCTCCTGGAAAAGAAACCCTCTGGTGGGTTCGATTCCATTGGCTAGGAGGGTACTCCTCACAGAACCATACACCCGCATGCCTTTGCCCGGCATGGCCCCCTTAGCTCCGAGTGTCTCCGTGCGCCCAGGGTCTTTGCAGTCCAGAATGTCTGCCTCAGTGACGGGGACAGGCGCGGGGCGGAGGGGATTCATGATGCATCCTTATTCTCAGGGAGTTTACCATAGGCCGGACTAGCCGAATGAACGAGTGTGAGCTGAAATCTCAAGAGCGGTCTTCACCTATGATTCCGAGCACGCCATTTAGCCCTTGGGTCCATGTTGCCTGCTTATCAAGCTGTTCAAATCCACTGTTGCACAAACGAAGCCAGCAGTGAGTCTCACTCTTTCTCTTTCTCTTTCTCTTCAATTTGTTTACTTAACTTCAAGCTACTTCTCTTTCTCTATCCCTCCTCTCTAGCACGAATTGGGACAGTGGCTCATGATCTGCCTGGCCGTGTGAGACCTTAAGGCCCCTACCAGTTGGGTAATTGGAAAGTGAGCACCGACCAGACCAAATCGCAGGCCACCTGCGATTTCGCGCGGCGCGCGGCGCGCGGCACTGCAAGGCTTCACTGTAATGGAGCATGGCAACAACCGAATGCCAGATCCATCCGCTCACTTGCTCAGCAAGTTATTTCAAGTTGCACGAGCCAGCAATTCTCAGAAACAACTTTTTTTCCAAAAGACGGCCGCCCAGAGAAAAACCTGAGCTGAACCATCTGGATCTCTCAGATGCAGCCCTCCGGCCCGGCCCAATCGGGTCGAGCCTGGAGCAGCGAGGCTGCGACCCAGGAAGGCTTTCTTGGGGTTCGGCACCCGCATCCCGGCCACCGTCACATCCTCAAAGCGACTGCTCCGGCTGAGGCAAAACAGTTCAGGAATCGGACACCTTGGAGACCGCTTCAAACGCACCCGTGAAAAATAGAACGCACACTGACGATTAGATGAACAACTAGAGGGGGTGGCACCTGAGGGGGTTAAGCACGAGCGTTTGTTCAAACTATCTGGGGTGTGGAGCATTCCAAAGTTGACTTCGACAGATTTCCCGTTGATAGACCCCCCCAATTAACGTGGAACCTGACAGGGGGTCCCTTCACAAGGAAATGGTCTTCCAGGACCCCCTGTCATGTTAAATGTTGATTGGTTCAAGGGTAAACCATTTGTGGTTTGAAGCCTGCAATGACAAGGTTGTATCTCAAACGTGGGCCGTGCGCAGGCTCGCAGCCATGTTATACATGTTTTGCAAAGATTTGGGCATTTTCGTGAGCAGGACAAGGCGTGTACTGCATTCCTTCATGCTTTCGACCGCTCACAGGCTTTAGCAAGATTTTCCCGAAAAGCCGTACCCCCTACCAAGGGCAGCGCAACCCATGTCCCAAATCGGGAAATCACACCCCCTGCCCCGGCTTGGAAGCCTCGATTTGGCGGCCTGAATCGTTCCTTACGGAGTCCATGGACTCAACATATGTCTGCAACATATGTCTGAAACCTGTGGCAATGCACGTGTGAGAACGCACTCTCCGTGGATACTGAAACCTTTGGAGCCCAGAGCTGCAGGCCTGACAACCTGAAATCCATGGCACTGAGAGCTGGTCCCTGAGAAAAGCTTTTCGGGCAGAACGCAAAGAGGCTCCACTTTGAGGCAGTGGCAAGAAGTGAAAATCTGAGGTCGGCAAACAAGAACCCCTCGACTGCCTTGCTTGCCTTCTTGCTTGCTTGCCTGCCTGCCTGCCTGCCTACCTGCTTGCTGTCTTGTTTGTTTGCTTGTCTGTCTGTTTGTTTGTTGGATGTGTGGGTGTGTCTATCTGCGTGTTTGTGTGTTTGTCCATGTTTGTGTGTTCGTGTGCTTCTGTGTACTTGCATGCTTGCATGCTTGCTTGCTTGTATGCTTGCTGTTTGCTTGGTCGCTTGGTCGCTTGGTCGCTTGGTCGCTTGGTCGCTTGGTCGCTTGGTCGCTTGGTCGCTTGCTTGCTTGCTTGCTTGCTTGCTTGCTTGCTTGCTTGCTTGCTTGCTTGCTTGCTTGCTTGCTTGCTTGCTTGCTTGCTTGCTTGCTTGCTTACTTGCACGCTCGCTTGTTTGTTTGCTTGCATGCTTGCTTGCATGATTGCTTGTTTGCTTGCATAATTGCTTCCTTGATTGCTTGTTTGTTTGAATGTGTGTTTGCTTGTGAGTTTTGCAGGTTACCCTTTTCGGAGTGGGTTTAAAGGAAACGAAAGGACAACTGACCATTTGGACGTCACCCTAGTTTGCCAGATACCGAACATATCCAACGCGATTCGTGCCCAGCGTCTGTCAGAAATCCGAAGCAGCCCTCGGAATCCTCTCGGAACCTCGGTGCGCTGACTCAAGAAGAAGCGAGCCCTGACGGAACAAGTGAATATATTCCTGCAATTTCAGATAGAACCCATACACCCACCGTGTTTATTTTAGACGAATCTCCATTGGGGGGAAATCTGCTTGGGTTCCATGTTGATCTGTGTCGGCGTACTTTACTGAAATCTTTACGGAGCAGTAAAACAACTGTTTCTCACAGGAACCTTTCTCATGAAAGACCACGTTCGCGTCTCCCGGTCGGTTTTCAGGAAAGTATAACTATACTAATGGGGGCACTCCTTCACAAGGAGACCAACAACCGACCAAGCAGCTGAAAGCCACACAAACAGCAAATATCACAACATCATTCTATTTGACTAGGAATGCGTACGGAAATTGAGACATGTACAAATGGTTAAGCCTTGAACATAATGATGCAGTAGTCACAAGATCTGATTGGCACAAATTGTGTCCCAAGAAGGACACCCTACGTTACAAGGGGGCAACCTCGCAAATGACCTGTTGCAGGCAAATTGGGTTGCCCAAGCACAAAGGGAGAACATGCCAAACCACCTAAAAACATGGAAGTCCAATTGTGTCCCAGGTTCACCCCTTGCAAACAGCGTGCTGTCTTTGGTATATCTGGCCATGGGTCAAAAGCCCGTACCCGCAGTGAACATCCCAATGACCACTAAAATAGACTAAAACGGGTGGTGCACCTACCCCAACATGGTACCATTGGTTTTGACCCACAGCCATCTCACTTTCTAATCGTGTGGCCTTCGCAATGAAGGGCGAGGCCGATACATCCCGCTCCATTCCCCTTCGTCCTGTGGCAGTGCGTTCCAAAAATGGTTCATTGACTGCACAAGCCCGTTCTGGAGAAAAATCACGATCCCTTTCCGGCTCGCTTTCGGTCACAGCCTGTCCATTTTCACTCCGCCACACTGCATAGTCAAGCCAGCGATTGAGCGAATCGGGCGTGACCAAGGCGGCTAACAAAGGGCAACCATCGAAAGCCGGACGGGTACAACACTCAGGAGATTCTCCCAATTCCTATGCCGACCATCGAGGAACCTCCAGTTTGGCACAAGCGTTTGGAAACCTCTGCTCATTTTGGCTTGTGGAAATACTCTGGATGGACAGAATCCTGTACCAGGTTGAAACCATGGTTTGTTGGAATTTAAAGGGGCACCATCATTCCTGCGATTCTTCGGTGGCGCAGGATTTCGTCCATCCACAATATGAAACAATATGGGCCTCCACGTCCTGCGTTGCAATCCAAGCCAGTTACAGGGGGTCCCCAATGGCTCCTACCCATTTCATGCCCGGTGGGCCGTGCGGACAAAGCTGCATCAAGCACCAGACAGCCATGGGGGCACTTATCTCTATGGCTTGGCCACTCGAAGGCAGATTTCAGCCCACGTCTAACAACACATCATAATATCGCTAGCTGCAGAAAGGGGGTCAATTTCTCCACTCAGCCAACATGTGAAAACACTTAAACATGTCCAAAAACCTGTTTTTGTTTTTGGTAGCATCAGCAGCATCGCTGCGATGGGATCAATCTGGTTTCCTGTTCCTGTCACCCGCTTCCATTGCACCCCCGACGGCGTTTCACGCCCGCAGGTGCCGGACCCCCTTTCGCAAAGCTCAGAGCTCAGCATCCTCGAGAGGCGTGTGCCTTGCAAGACCAAACCCGAAACAGGAAGCCTCCTAAACTGTCCTAGTGTGATTTTCTGGAAGGTTTCCCTCAGATTGCTGATAACAGCTTTCGTTCTCTCTACAACAGGGCCACGCCCATGCTTCATTCACCACAGTATAGGTTCTGGAGATGCACCGTGACACAACAGCGAATACAGAATAATGCTCCTAAATCATAATTGCAGACTGAACTGCGTAGCTGAGTTGCCTAAATAGAATTCCCCAATCATGTTCCTCAATGCCGCCATTCTGTGCGCACTGTCCGCCATATGCCCCGACCCCATTTGGGCGGTGCTACGCAGGTTTTGGTCTTTGATTTCCATCCAAGGGGCCCAAATGGGGACCACTTTTTCGAGCCACAGCAAATTTGTGGGGAAGCCACAACTCAAAGGGATCTTTCGAGGCACCGCAGGACAAACACGTGTAGAATCTCTGAAGATTCCTACCCAACTAGTGCTGGCATAGACGCAGTGTGCAGCACATTGGCTGCACAGTATTAAAATGGCCTACCCAAAACCATGTACAGAGTTCAAAAGGCGGCCGCACACATTTGTGGTGGGATTGTCCCTGACCCTCCAAATACCCAGGTTTTTATTGCGACTCAAGCGGGGCCAAAATGCGAAGCTTTGGCAGCTCAACATTTTACCCATCTGCTCACCGCTGAAAAGAAACTTGCATCGCAAGCTCATGCCAGGAGCCCTACGACCACATAACCCAAAAGCACATGAAAGGGGCTAAACATATTAATAAGCCTTATCGATATAGCTCAAAGCCAAAGAAGCTGACATGCGTCTGCCATAAGGCTTTGGCCTGGGGTCCGTGATCACAACAAGTTGTTCCAACACGCTGCGTTGATGGGAGCCGACCCCGATTTTGAAGCTTCAAGGGGGGCCTTGTCAAAACCTGCAGTCTCCTGAGCAACGTATCCTGAAAATTCGTCCAGGAAAGCTTGCCAAGCTATAGCTGAGATACTTCATGACACACTCACAAACCTTTCTATAGCCGTCATCGTGGTGGTCCTCGCGGTAGCGCAGAATCGGGAACTCCTCGCCTGCAAGTGCGAGATCATCAACGTTACTGTCGCATTGGCTGCTTAGAGAAATCGTATTCGAAGGGCTTAATTCACATTCCATTGGGAACATCCATGCAATAGGCAGACTGAAACACTGCAGAACATGGTAGGAAAACGATACGCACGTTCATGTCCCAAACGTACGAACTAGCTAAACTCTAGCCACAATGCTCGCAAACACACTTGGCACCTGACCCATCGGGGGTGACTGTTTCTGGCAACGCAAACATGTTGCAAGTAAGCTACTGGCATTGGGCATTCCTCTAAACCGTATATGCATGGATGGGCCAACATCGAAATACATCACCCATGGCTGAGCAAGTTACCTTGCTTTGCAGAAGGACGTAATCAATGAGCCTAATCACAGTGTGATTATTGAGAAGGCTCCACACACACTATTTTACATCTATCCGGTCACAGTGACTAATGCCAGCAACTAATATTTGAGTTGCCATGGAGAAACAGCAGCGCTGCCTGCAATTTAGGAAGCGACTTAGTGGGTCAGGGGCCTCACCAACTGCCCCGGCAACGGCCGAATTCTGACCAAGGCGCTTTTGCAAATGTGATGCATTCCACCCACATCCCAACAAGGATGTTCTCTGCACACACACTCCTCTGAGGATTCATCGTAATCCAACCTTGGATCAAAGAGCATGGCAACATGCCAGGTCTTTTGCAACTGGTTATGCTGCAAATACCAGCCCTTCATATCTCTGGTTTTTGTTCCTCATTCATGCTGGCTGCTTCTTATTTGCTGGTTGTGCAGGGCCTTGCCCACTTCCTTTGCCACATTGCCAGATTCTGACGGGGCACATCGGGTACTCCAGGTTGCGACAGCGCTGCTCTGGACACAAATCCTTGCTCAAGTGAACAGTCCTCAGCTAAAACAAATACATGCAAAAACTGACCAAGTATCTGCCACGGTTCTCCGTGTGCAGGCCAATTGCGTTGCGTTTGGGCCTTGTGATTTCCCAAATTTTAGTAAGGGGTATCAAACTGCGAACGCTTGCAACAACCACAATGGCAGCAACATGTCGCAACCCACTGAGCAACACATCGACATTTTGCCAGTGATGTGAATAGGGGTTCTTCGTTGCTAGGCAAAGCTTGGTGGCTCTGGCTCATGAAATGGTGCTTGCAAGTTGCAGTCATGATCCGAACGTGCCTTGTCGACCATGTTTGGTAGAGAATGCCTGCAAAACTTAGGACATGTCCAAAGCCTGAAATATGCGGGCCCCAAACAAAGGACCTTCATCATTGTGAGCTCGTTTACCCCGAGGTCACCGAAAAATAGGCAGATGCTTTGCAAGAGGACACAGCAAACTTCACACCCAATTTGCTGCTTGGCATCTCATAGTGCGGTGTGCTGGCACACTCGCAAACCAGCTTGCCCTCCTGCGCTAAACTGCTGGCATTTACCATTGACGTTCCAGGGAGTAGTATCGCATCTGGGGTGTTGAGTCAAACATCGGGGGCTGCTAGCTTTGGGCTATCTTTGGGCTGGATTCGGTGATAAGTTGATAAGAGTCAAGAGCGTTGGGTATGCAGAATACGACCCTATGACAGTGATCGCGTCCGCGAAAACCGGCTGTCAAAGGTGGGCTTTCTCCATGACTTGGGCTTAGGCTGAAGTGAGGGCTGGCTCTCCGGGCAATGTTTCGCGCGGATGGGACATGAAGCCAACCGGGCTTACCAAAACCCATGGACAACTTTGTAACCTTATGCTCAGTATCGCTCAGTATAGCTTTCTCTTTTTCTCTGCTCTGCATCGGCTGAGTGCTTTTCCGGAACCTCAGTTTGGCAACAATTGCGGGCTTGGTGCATGGCGCGTCTAGAATCTCACTGCAACTCACAAGAACCTAATATGTTGTTCGAACCAAATTGTCTCGGTTTGCAATGGTTCGGGCCCACAAAACAAGTTAAGGGACTGCGCCTTACATAACGAAAAAGGCGCGGGTTTTGCCATTTTGATCCAGCTGGCCGTCATTGTAAGCAAAGATGCGGTATTGACAACTGCTGTCGCAAATCTGCACGTGCAAGCAAGCCTATATCTACAACTACAACCCGCACAAATAGTCCTAACATTGTATCCACGCACATCAGCCAGCTGCCTCACCCTGGCCGGGAATTGTTTGCTACTCTCGGAAAGTCTGCGAACTGGCATTCTTCTCACCTCTTACTTGATTGAACCAGCCTGGGACTTTCTCTGCATTGTCTACCGCAGTTCAACAATCTAAATTAAGATATTCCTCAAGCAAGGGCCGTTCATCCTGAGCGAGCTCGTTTTGAGCTCGCTGCACGTGCAGAAATGCAGACCACAACCGGTGAATCAAACGGCTCATCCGGTCCTTGGTGTAGTAGAAGGCGAGGAATGGGTTCGCCTCGTTGGGGCAAGTGTGCGTCTGGCCCTCGTCATTCCAGCAAGGATGGGCGCGGCAAACGCACTCCTGCAAGCAAAGTTGAACCATGGCTCTGCTACGCGTTACCCTTCTACCCAAAGCAGCCACGTGTATGCTCAAACGCCTGTGGGGGCACTATAGGCTTTAGGATTAAAACTGAAACACACCTGCTCGGAATCGGTGTTGTCCCATGCTGGCGTAATTCAAGAAACTCTGTTCTCTCACCTACGCTTCTGCTTGCCAGTCGTGATGTTAAACACGTTCAGCTGCACTGTGCGACTGATTGGCATAAAACTGGGCTGCCCTAAACATCCACTAAACACTAAAAGGATCTAAATAGCTAAGGAACCGGATGGCTGGCTTCGGCACCAAGAAAACACCACTGAAACTCAGTGGCTCTCCCACTCTCGCGGGCCTCCGCCTCGGGGTCATAATCAAGCAGGGGATAACCCCGGGAATCGCAGGAGTGCCCGCGACACTTTGCGGAGATGTACCTAGGCCAGGTACCCCGTGCAAGCGGACTGCGCCGTGCCCAAACCCCTGAGACGCGGAAAAGAAGGCGTCTTTTTTAGGAAGGGACCCGACCGGGGTCGCAAACAACCTTTTTGGTGAGGCTGCAGCTTCATCTAACGTTGCAACACAAAAACCCAACAGGTACAGTAGAACATTCACCCTCGCAAGAGACCCCAGGACACCTCATGAATTCCTCTATCACGTGGTTTGGTCTTTTGGGGCCATCCAACCCTCAGGCCAGTTTGGGGTGAGGCACATAGGAGACGCCAGGGCCGGCGTCGCCAGAACAAGCTTTGCCCAGAACATGGCGCCAGCGCTGATTTCTGGCGTCGGAAGGCCGAGCCGAAATGCCTGCAACGTTTCGCCGAGGTCGGCGGAAGCCTGCTGGCCCAGACCAGCGATTAAGAGTTGCCAGGATACAAGTGTTTGCTTGACTGCTCGCGTTTGGAGGCCATCATTAAATGTGAATCCAAGCAACAAACTCCCCGGTTTCTTTGACTGCTCGCGTTTTGAGCATCAAGGGCACGCCCATCAGGTGAAACCAAGCAACAAACTCCCCGAAGTCTGAAAGTCTGAACGTGCTGCCTCTGGCCAGTGTCTCTTCGCAGGAATTGCCACCCTCGATGTTCTAATCGAGCCAGCCTTAAGCATACGTGAGTACCTGGTGATGGCGGTACAACTTAAATGGAAAGATATGTCAAAAATCCCAGAAACCCCATTGCCATAGTCGACCTCTTGCTCACTCAGGGAAAAAGTCTAAACTTTTTGTTTCCCACTAAAATGGTCCTCCCAAACAGTAAACAAAGTCTGTGAACTCCGGGAGGTAGCTTGTTCTCACTTGCCCAAAGGACCCAGAAATGAAAGGTTAACCTTTCGGGACCATGACTAAATATGGATTAGAATGGGATAATTAAAAGGTCCAAAGGTCGATTCGCTGTGAACAACTGAGTGTTTCCATCCATTTTTTTTGGGCCAAAGGGCAGGCGGTCGAAGATGAGCAGCGTCTGCATGTCCCCGTTGTGTCTGGCAGCAATGTCTTCCAGCAGTCCCTGCACCTTGGCCATGCCAATTCTCCCGGTTTTGCCGGACTCCGAACTTCAAAGCCCAGCAATCAAGAGCCAAACTGGGAGAGGAAACGCCCCCTCCCCCCGGTGGCTCCGGGAGACCTAGGAGTGGACCTTTTTCGGGATGTCTCTGACCGGGCATGCGAATTCGCCCAAACCCTCAGGGTTGAGAACGAAGACAGGACACCCGTTTCCGATTGATGTCAAAGACAACTCCTTCCAAACAGAGGCCTGTTTAGCGCCAAACCAAAAGCGCCAGGAGGTCTGGTTGACTAATTTGCCTAAGGACTAAACAACTACAATTGGGGTGCGGTGCTATAAATCCAGCTTTGGTCATAACATGAGAATACTATTAGCCCCAAAATAGCTCTTCTTAAGCCCTTGGCATCGGTAAGCTATTAAGGCCTTGTTCGAGCTCTCCCCTCTCCCGCAGACCCCCGTAGCCCCCCGCAGCCCCATGGCTTCCTAATGCTAACCCCGGATAAATTCGGGGGGTGTCCCCTTTTAGTGGGGATTCGAATCAGTTTTGGAGGGGTCCCCACCCCCCTAATACTGAGTTCGGGTTTATTCATCCTGGGTCAACATAGGTGAATCAACCAGTAACCATTCATTCTAGCTCAGGGAAGATCGTAATTGCATGGTTGACACAGCCCTCCGCAGCCCTCAGCCCGCCGCAGCCGTCCCCGTCGGTCGAGGGGCCCTGCCCTGGCGCTGGGCGCTCTCGGCGGCGCTGGAAGCGAGGCCCAGCGCCTCCAGCGCCGACAGGTCCAAGGGACTTTCCTTCCAGCGAGCGGGCGCTCGCCAAATTTGCGCGAGCCTTGAAAAGGGGGGCTGGGGGGAGGAGTGGTCTTAGACGAAGGGGCGGGGGAGCTCGGGGGAGGGGGAAGGGGTGGGGGGGGGGGGGCGCTGAAAAAGGGATAAGGGGTGGGGGGAGGGAAAAAAACAAACAAACCATAGAAGCCCAGGTGGTATCCAACAGCTGGATCGAACCCTCCCCGGAAGCTTTCAGCTGTGCGAAAATGCGCTGGTGTGGAAAGACAGGGGTCCAGTCTGCAAGCCTTCTTTGTGATCCAACTCAAAATTATGGTTGCCTGGTTGGCGTTGTGGGGGAGAATGACAAAATATCGGCTGGCGTCACGCTGGCTTTCATGTTTTTGGGCGCGTGGCTCATGATGTGCCCAGTGGTGGGTCCTGAACCCTGAACCCACCAAAAGGATTTAGAGTGTGCTAGTGAACAACTGAGGTTCACTTCAAGCAGGGTGGTTTGGAGCCCGGTGGTTTTGTGATTAAGGAGGGGTTTCCCATTTACCCTCTACAAAAGGCAGGGTTCAAATCCAAATCCAAACCACCAATCCGAACCACCAACCAAGGGTTGCCTGATTCAAGGGCTTGTAAGCTCCTTCGCGAGAAAAACGAGGTACGCATCCCCTCTACTGCGATCCGAATCGCATGTCATGTGCCACTCCGGGGCGTTCATTTGTTCTGCAACTAGGTCCTCCAGTGGAGAGGATAGAAAAAGGGTACCTTTTTTCTGTAGTCTATTTTCGTGGGGGACCCCTCTCAACCAAAAAAGAAACGGGTGAGAAAGGGCACCTAGCTGCGGGGACCTAGCTGTTGAGAATGTCTTCGCCAAAGGACAACTCCCTGACGCGAGGTGTCCAGTGCAAGTTGCTCTCAAAACCGCAGGAAGCCACAAAGAAAATGACATTCGCTGGATGCCAAGGGCCGCCCATAAATTCTGAACACCTCCGCCCTGGTCAAGGAAGCTCCGCCCTTTCCAGGGCAAAACGCCCTGGACACTTCTGCCATGACAAACCCACGCAATGAGCTTGACATCGAGCCTCCGCCTTCTGCGGCTGCATCTTGCTGTTCAAAAGCTTTGCCAGTTGGGTGTGGCTCAATTTTAAACAGGAGAACAAGCTGCAGGTTTGGTCCATGTTTCCACTTACCAGGGTTCCATTTTGGTACCGGTTCTTTGAGCCACAGCCAGCTGGCAACTCCATCTCACTTTTGTGTGTTGCTATTGAGTAACTCGGCTGTAAGTCGAAGTAAAATTCTGCAAAGCCCCGAGTGAAACAGTTGGAGTTCTGCTTGCTAGACTTAGTGGGTGTGGTATTTTAGGTCAGGATCAGATTAGGATTGGCTGCTTTCCCCCTTATTGTTGTACAAGGCGAAGTCAAGCATCCATTCACCCACCCACCCACCCACCCACCCGCCCACCCACCCACCCACCCATCCATCCCATCCATCCATCCACCCACCCACCCACCCATCCATCCACCCATCCATCCATCCACCCATCCATCCACCCATCCACCCATCCACCCATGCACACAACCAACCACCCATCCATCCCATCCATCCCATCCATCCCATCCATCTCATCCATCTCATCCATCTCATCCGTCTCATCCATCTCATCCATCTCATCCATCTCATCCATCTCATCCATCTCATCCATCCATCCATCCATCCATCCATCCATCCATCCATCCATCCATCCATCCATCCATCCATCCATCCATCCATCCATCCATCCATCCATCCATCCATCCATCCATCCATCCATCCATCCATCCATCCATCCATCCATCCATCCATCCATCCATCCATCCATCCATCCATCCATCCATCCATCCATCCATCCATCCATCCATCCATCCATCCATCCATCCATCCATCCATCCATCCATCCATCCATCCATCCATCCATCCATCCATCCATCCATCCATCCATCCATCCATCCATCCATCCATCCATCCATCCATCCATCCCATTCATTCCATCCATCCATCCATCCATCCATCCATCCATCCATCCATCCATCCATCCATCCACCCATCCATCCATCCATCCATCCATCCATCCATCCATCCATCCATCCATCCATCCATCCATCCATCCATCCATCCATCCATCCATCCATCCACCCATCCACCATACACAATCCCATCCCATCCCATCCCATCCCATCCCATCCATCCCATCCATCCCATCCGTCCCATCCATCCCATGCATCCCATCCATCCCATCCGTCCCATCCATCCCATCCATCCCATCCATCCCATCCATACCATCCATCCCATCCATCCCATCCATCCCATCCATCCCA